CTCTCTCTCTCTCTCTCCAGTCGAGACGAGGTGGAGACATATCCGCACGGCAGCTCAGCGCGACTTTCCGCATGTGTGTGGGTGTGGCGGAAATTGCTCGCAATTTCGCCCAGCAGGCTCTGCGCTCTTGGGCCCAGGATCGAGATAACGCGCCATCCATCCATTTTTGACATTTTGGCCATTTTTGGCGTGGGCTCGAGCGCTGGCTCAGTCAGGACGGATGTCGTGCCGAGATGCAGCGTCAGAGTCCGAGTCGGATTCCAATTTGGCGCCTTTGACAGGCCAACAAAAGGCGACCTTGGCCCCGTTTCGGAGCCGTCATCCGGTCCGGGTGTGGTGCATCGATCCGCCAATCGAGCAGCTCCCAGTCACGGAAACACCAAAATGGGGCCCAGCTTGACCAAAGGAGGAGTTGACTAAGTTAGCGACCAACCGCATGGCGTCTTTAGCCAACCACTGTGATGGTTCGGGAGGCGCCCGGATCCTCTAGCCGCACCAAGGCGCTCAAAGCGCACACAAAGGTCATGGGACCGACCGCATGGCGTCGTTAGCCAGACTGCTCTCGCTATCAAGATGTGTGTGTCTATCTTCTGCTTCCTTGACGGCTGCCTCTAGGATCAAAAGGCATATATACCCTCATGCCTTCGGCTCGTCCCTAGCTTTGCCCTCCCCATCCTCCCAAGTACCCTTCCTCCCACACCTCCGTCTCTTCATCTCTCAGTCCTTGTTTCTCAGTCCTCGTCTCTCAGTCCTCATCTTTCTCAAAGGTGACCAAAATGGTCCCGAGCAAGATTGCTCGCAACCGCGCCGCCCAGGCCATGCCAATCCGAGCCCAAGACCGTCCACCCGACGTGCACGTGCAGCCGCTCTAGCGCGGCAACGTTTTGCCTGGGCCGCCCACCTTCCTCCACGCTCTACTCGATCTCAGCTTGGCTCGGCCTGTCAAATCTTCCCCTTTTCCCCCGGCCTGATACAGCGGGCCTCGAGAGACGCTGTCCAGTGTCCTTTGCCGCTCACGGCTCGTCTGGCGTTGGCCAGAGTGAGAGCCTAGGTCTCGAAATTACTGTAGCCGTATTCGCGGAGCAAAGTCGCCGAAGACCCTGAGCCGCCATCTCGACCATCCAGCCTGAGCTCCAAGAATCTGTCACATACCGCAGCACCAGCACCATCCAAAGCAAAGATATGAGACCGAAAAATGACTTGCGTCTTACATGTCGGCACTACGAGGCATTATCGTGGCTGAACGTCCGCCTCGTCGGCGTATTGGCGCCGCTCGTCGAGCGGCGCGCACTGGCAAACGACGTGGCATCAAAGATGGGCGTCGCTTGCTCCTCGTCCTCGTCCTCGTCCACCACCACCGCATCGCGCTCCGACGGATATGCATTGGCATCGCCCTCCTCCTCGACCGAGAAGAAGTTGCGTCTGGCGCTGCCCGTGCTGTCATCGCCAGCACGCGACAGATCGAGCTCGGATCGGCTGGCCGCAGCGTCCCTGGCTGCGAGGCGCGCGATCTTCTTCTCTTCGTGCTTGCGCGACGCCACCGAGTTGCTGAACAGCGGCAGCAGGTACTTTTGATCGATCGCCTGGAACCACTGTCCGTCCTTCATGACCAGGCCGGCGCGGTCCAGCAGCTGCTTGGCAGGAGACGACGTCGAGCCGTCCGAAGACGACGCCTCGAGCACCGCCTTGCGGATCTCGCTCAGGCTCGGTATCGACGTCGTGTTGACCGTGGTGGGCGAGCGTGCTCCCGCGAGCCCGGGTGTGGCGGAGCGACTGAGGCTGGCGCCCGTCGCGAGCGGCGCGAGCCCTGTGCCTGCGCCGGGTGTGGATGAGCGCGATGGCAGCATCTCGGAAGAGAATGAGGAGCGCTCGTCGTCCTCTTCCAGATCGTCGGCGAAGCCGGTACGTGCGCCGCCCGTCTTGGCACCGCGCATCCCCGATGCGAACACTGAGCTGCTGTGACTGAGCGACGCGCGCGGGCTCGACGTCTCGCTCGCATCACGATACGCCGCTTTGCGCCCGGACCGCGTGAGCCCCGCGCGCTCCGACGCATCGCGGTAGCTGCCCGAGTCGAGGTAGGTGCGTCGCTGCATGCCGCGCAGCCGCATCACATCGTCGTCGTCCTCTTCGTCGTCCGAGTCGCCCTCGTCGTCCTGCACACCCGTGCGGATGCCCAGGATTTCGAGCATCTGCGCCGTCGTACCGCCAAACACGATCACCGTCAGCACGACCGTGACGAGCACGGTCGTCTGCAGCGCGATCGCATTCTGCCCCTCGATACCCGCCGAGAGCGCAAAGCCCACGGCGCCGCGCAGCCCCGCCCAAAAGAGCATGATCTGGTACTGCCGAGGCAGCTCCTCCTCCACGGCGCCGCGCGGAACGCCGCCACCGCCCGTGGCGCGCGCGCGGCGGTTGTTGCGCGCGCGCTTCACCGCATTCACCACGCTCGCGATGGGGAACACCGCGCAGTAGCGCGAAGCCACCACCGCCAGCACCGTGACGATGATAAACAGCGGCTTGTACACCAGGATCTCCTGCGTGAAGAGACTGAGTCCGAGGTAGATAAAGATAAAGTTCTCCGAGAGGTTGGCGAGCGTCTGGAACGTGTAGCGCGTGGTCCTCTGTGTGCGCCTCGACATGTTGTGGTAGGCGTAGTGCTTGAGCGTGATGCCGCAGAAGAGCAGCGAGACGATGCCGCTCATGGTGACGCCGTTGCTGAAGAAGTAGCTCGTGTAGGCGATGAGCGCCACCAGACAGCTCTCGAGCTGCGGATACGAGCTCAGTCGCGAATGCTTGAGCAGCAGCGAGCAGCCCAGTCCGAAGCACACGCCCAGCAGCATCGAGAGCGTGAACACCACCAAGAAGAGCCCGATGCCGTGGAAGATGGACGAAATGTAGATCTCCTTGCCCCTGAACGTCGAGAGCGTGTCGAACATCACGATCGACACCGCATCGTTGAGGATGCTCTCGCCAAAGATCACCGAGTACAGCTTGGGGTCCACCTTGTACGTGTTGAAGATGGCGAGGATGGTCACCGGATCGGTGGCGCTGAGGGTCGAGCCAAAGATGAGGCATTCGAGCAGCGTGAGTGAGATCGACTCGAGATGCAGCAGCGACCAGAGGTAGACGATCACGCCCACCACGATGGCGCTGATAAACGTGCCGGCAAATGCAAAGATGAGGATGGTGCCAAAGTTGCGGAAGAAGTTCTCCTGGCGCAAGTCGTAACCGGATGCGAGGATGATGGGCGGCAGAAGCACGTTGAGCATGATGGTGTTGCTAAAGCTCAGCATGCTCTGCACCTGCTCGCCTGGGCCGACGCGCAGGCAAAGACCGACAAACATGCCGGCAAACAGGCCGACGATGGTCTCGTGCACCGCCGTGATGCGCTTGACCTTGAGATAGTAGGATGTCCAGAACGAGAGGATGAGCAGCGACAGCACAAGGAAGAGCGCCAGCGACGAGAATCGCTCCTGCTGCTCTGCATCAGGCACGGTCACCGGCGTGGTGGCGGTGGCCGTCGCGCTGGCTGAAGCTGTGGATGTCGCTGTGCCCGTTGTAGACGCTGTTGCGCTATTCGATGTCGAGGCTGCAGTGACAACGCTCAACAGCAGCGCTGACACCATGGTGAGCTTGGCGAGCATCCTGGGCAGCATACTTCGGCGGCCTTGGTCCCCCCACCGTCGTCCTAGCGACGCTCCTGCTCCAAGTGTTGTGCCTGGCCTTGCTCCCAAGCTATGATGACTTGGCCAGAGCAAGATGGCGTGCGAAGATCCAGAAGGTCACGGTAATGAGCGGCGCAGCTGACTTCGACGGATGGTGTTGGGTGTAGAGATGATACTGAGCTGAGCCTAGGACGCAAAGGACCCTGGAAGCCGTGAGCCTCGGTGGAGGCTTCCCGTTCTCCGACCTGCGATCCGTGCGTAGCAAAAAAAACTCAATCTAACATGTAGGACCGATGCGATGTCTTTATACGTCCTTTCACCATCAACTTGGTTCAGGATTCGAGCCTGCGAGTCCATACAAGAGTCTCAAAAAGACGTCGACACCACACAGGCTTTGCTGTAGGATCGAGAGCGAGTGCGTGTGGCTCGTTTTCGCAACTGAGGCGAGGCCTTGTAGGCGAGGCCACAGAGGCGAGGCCACAGAGGCGTGATCGAGCCCCGATGGAATTCCGGCGGCGACGCGATTGACGATCTTCGACTCGGCCGTGGAGCGCAAACAACACGGTAGCAGCCGCCCTCGCGACAAAATGTGAGAATTCGGGTGGTGAATGTCACGCTCTCATCACCATCCGGCGCACCTTCCATCCGCACTCGATCCCACCTCGAAAGCGGATCCGTCGTCGGTAGATCCCATACATTAGCACCGTCGCCATGAACGACTATCCAATGGATGCGGCGCCGCAGTCGCTCTCGGAGCTGCTGCAGCAGTCCAAGAAGCTCACCAACCATCTCGGGCGCTCGGACCTGCCCCAGATCCAGCTAGGCCTCGACCAGATCGAGAATCAGAGTCGCAAGCTCGTCTCCAAGAGCCTGCGCTCCGGCTCCACCCAGCCCGCCGATGCGCGCGCACACTACTTTCTCGCCAACGGAGGCATCGATGCCGCTCAGCTCGCCGATACCATCAATGCGGCCAACATCGCGAGCACCTTCGAGCCTCTCCAACCCATCTACGACACGGATGTGGAAAGCTACCTCACCCACGAGCACCAGCAGGTCGTCATCAGCGCCATCGAGCAGGGAAGGCGTGAGACGCTCCAGGACTTCCACCGCAACCTCGACCGCACCATGCACCGCGACTGGGAGAGGCAGAAGCGCAAGATCTTCGAAGAGCTCGGTCAGCATCAGCCCGCCAGCGCTGCCGGTCGCGATGCGGATCTAGACGCTTCCACTTCTGGCTTCGGCGCCTCCACTTCGGCGCACACGCTGCCCTCGTCGTCGAGCACAATGCTCGGGTCCAATGCCACCTCCCAGATGCACGGCAAGATGGCGCGCTACCTCATGGTGGTGTCCAGGCTCAACTCGTCCCGACTCGAAGGGTACAACCTTGCTCTGGCACATGCCTTCATCGATGCCATCTCTGGCCTGGGCGAAGAGTCCAAGAACAAGGAGCTCATCGAGAGCTGGAAGGCGCTCGCCTCGATGGTGCGCGAGCAAGACGTCCGCAACGGCGAGTTCGGCGCCAGGCTCATCAAGGAGCGCCAGTATGCCCCTGCCTACGTCGACCTCAAGGGCTGGAACGGCACCGAGGGCATCCACCTGCGCAAGGAACTCCTCCAAGGCTCCAGGGCGTTTTTGGAGAAGGAGTTCGAGGAGCACATGGAGCAAGTCATTGCCGCCAACCCCGTCATCGCCCAACGCGGCGGAGCGCCCACGGTGCGATCGACGGTGAGCGCCTTCCTGCGTGTGCAGCATCTGAGCTCGCAGAACCAGTGGCGATCGGACCTGGCCAAGGAGCTCGATGCGTCGACCAACGTGCCGATCTGGGCGGAGCTCTACCTGCTGCTGCGCATCGGCAAGACCAAGGAGGCGCTCGAGTGTGCGTCGGAGAACGAGAACCGCATCCGCTCCACCGACCCGTCGTTCCTGGCGTACCTCAAGGCGTGGGTGGACTCGCCGGAGCGTCGGCTGCCGCGTCTGCTCAAGGACCGCTTCGTGGCCGAGTACAACTCTCGCTTCCGCACGCTGCCCGAGGTGCACGACCCGTACAAGCTGGGACTGTACAAGCTGATCGGACGCATCGATGTGGCCAAGAAGTTCCCTGCGCTGCTCACGTCGAGCATCCAGAACTGGCTGTGGCTGCAGCTGAGCATGGTGCGCGAGACGTACGACGAGGATGGGGATGCGCAGGACTCGGTGCGCGACCGCTTCACGCTCGCCGACCTGGGACACAAGGTGGAGAAGTTTGGCGAGGCCTACTTCGACCCCAAGGGCAACCGGCCGCTGTTCTACTTCCGGCTGCTGCTGCTGTGCGGCCAGTTTGAAAAGGCGGTGGGCTTCCTGTTTTCGCGCTCGGCGCACCAGGTGGATGCGATCCACTTTGGCGTGGTGCTGGCGTACTACGGCCTGCTGCGGGTGCCGTCGCAGGCGGCGTCGTCGCAGGTCGAGTATCTGGTGGTCGAGTCGGACGCGCAGGGCGGGAGCGTTGCGTCGATCGACTTTGCCAAGCTGGTGCAGCGGTACGTGCGCACCTTTTCGCAGTCGTCGCGCCGCGATGCGCTGCAGTATCTGTACCTGATCTGCCTGCACGCGGATGTGGCGGAGCCGGTGGGCTCGGAGCAGGTGCGTCGGTGCCACGATCTGATCCGTGCGCTGGTGCTCGAGGCGCATCCGACCGAATTCCAGGAGCTGCTGGGCGACGTGCGCACCAACGGCGCCAAGACGGCGGGCTTGATCGAACGCAACCTGCCGCTGATCAAGATCAAGAACGAGCGCGAGTTCCTGTCGACGATCGTGCAGGTGGCGGCGACGCAGTGCGACATGGCGCACCGCACCGAGTCGGCGATCCTGCTGTACAACTTGGCGGGCCAGCACGACACGGTGGTGGCTGTGCTCAACAAGGAGCTGGGCGCGCGGCTGATGGAGCCGAGCAGCGCATCCGAGTGGAAGAGCGAGGGCCTGTCGTCGGGCGCGTCGTTCTCTGCGGCGAGCAACGTGGTGACGCTGGCGACGGCGATTCTGTCGACGTACGAGGCGCAGTACGGCTATGCGGGCAAGAACCGGGACACGTGCCGGCGGTTGCTGGAGCTCAAGAAGGCGGTGGGACTGCAGAGCGAGGGGCGATATCTGGAGGCGCTGCAGACGATCGAGGCGCTGCGGATCCTGCCGCTGGATGGCGAGTCGCGCAAGGACGTGGTGGCGATCACGCGCAAGGCGGAGGAGTTCAAGGAGGTGGACGAGAACATTGCGCGCAACTTTTCCGAGATTGTGCTCATGACCATGACCATGCTGTACAAGCTGCACCAGGAGCTCAAGGAGAGCATCCACCGCAGCGGCACGAGCGCCATGGACGAGTACCGTGCGCAGGCGCGTGCGCTCATGATGTGGGCGGGCATGCTGCGCTTCCGCATGAGCAGCGAGACGTACAGCCAGCTGACGCGACTCGATGTGTTTGTAAGTTGAACTGGCTGGGTGCGCGCGCCATGAAGGATGCCCAAACGACCGATGCTGACCGCCGTGTTCTCCTTCCTGCCCCACAGATCCACTGATGCAGCCGCTCCCCGGTCACCGTAGAATGCGGCTAGATGGGTTGCTGATCGGCTACAACAGAAAACCAAGCGATTGCCCGATCGATTGATCCCTGCGTGTTGTGAGCGGCGAGGCAGAGAGAGAGGAGAAAGTGGGAGCAAATGACAATCCTTTTGCTGAGCACGTTCTCGCCGCCGCCCCCCACCCCGGACCCTGAGTCTCACCTTCTTGCAGCGCCAAGCAAAAAAGAAGGAAGCGGACGAACCAAAAGAAAAGAAACAATTGGGCCGAGCCAGAGCCGACGGAGCGCGTTTAGAGGAGCAACGCGGCGCGGCGGGCGGGCGGTCAGGCGGGACAGGCTGAGCCGGGCCAAGCGATGTCGAGCGAGCGAGCGATAATCGAAATCAGATCTCTGTGCAGTGAGTGCCAGCCAGTATTTTTAGCCCCGCCACCTTGTGCCCCAAAGAGAGATAAAAAAGGTGGGCTGTGCGCACCGAAGAGAGGAAGGGGATGCCACAGCCTCGCAGCAGAAACAGCGTCGGCTGTGCTCGCCTCGCCTGCTGCCCCACGGCAATCCATTCGCAGAGCTGAGCTGAATTATTTGCACCGCACCGACTGGGCGCCCCACACACTGAGCGCCCTCCTCTGCTCCTTAAGGGTGCGCGTGGATCCATTCCTCCCACCACCCCCATCCTCGTCAACCTCGACCTCAACCCTCGACGAACAAACACATCCGGCGCCATGTCGCACATGATCGCCTCTGCCATGTCGGTGGCGCAGCAGACGCTCGGCTCTGCCTCCACCGCCAACGACTCCTCGGACCACCAGCCGGGTCTCTCGCCTCCCCTCTCGCCCGTCGGTGAACAGGACATCGAGCTCACCGCTCCCACTCCCGCGGCCGCCCGTGCCTCGCGCCGCCCCGCTACCGCTCCCAACTCGCCCATGCCGCCTCACCTCCAGTCCTACCGCAACAACCTCGGCAACGACATCACCATCGACGTCAACATCGGCCCCAGCACCTCGTCCGCCTACGCGCGTGCCCAGGGCAGCGCCGCCTTTCACCACGCCCACAAGCACCATCCCCACTCGCCCTCGCCCTCTCGCGCTCCCCTCCCCTCCACCGCCGCCCCGACCGAAGTTGCCGGTCCATCGGCGGACGGCAAGCCCGCGCACCTCGCCCACCCCTCGCAGGATACCGAGGCGGCGGCAGGCCCTTCGCGTTCGCGCGCCAGCTCGCTCGGCTACGGCGGCCTCGCACCCGCCACGCCCGGCGGAGAGACCGACCCGCTGCTGCTGCGTTCGCGCGTCGTCGAAGAGTCCGAGGTGCGTCGACGCCACTCGGGCAAGGGCCGCAACCGCCGCGACGAGCGCCAGATCCGCGACTTTTACGAGGCGCAGAACGAGCACATCGAGCGACTGCTCAAGCCCATCTCCGCACACGCCGACGAGGACAAGCAGGACCGCGAGTCGTCGGCGCTCAAGGTCAAGATCGCCGTATACGCGTCGATCGGCGCCAACTTTGTGCTCGCCATCCTCCAGCTGTATGCCGCCGTGAGCTCGCTCTCGCTCTCGCTCTTTGCCACCGCGGCGGACTCGGTGTTCGATCCGTTTGCCAACCTCGTGCTCAACTGGCTGCATCGCAAGAGCGAGAAGGTCGACGAGCGAAAGTGGCCCATCGGCGGCTCGCGCTTCGAGCCGATCGGCAACATCACCTATGCGGCGCTCATGGGCATGGTCTCGGCCATCCTCGTGGTCGAGTCCATCCAGGAACTCGCCACGGGCGATGGCGACAAGAAGCTCTTCATCCCCTCGCTCATTGCCGTCGGCGTCGCCTTTGTCACCAAGGCGATCCTGGCGATCTACTGCTATGGACTGCGCAAGTACTCGTCGCAGGTCGAGGTGCTCTATCAGGACCACCGCAACGACCTGTTCATCAACGGCTTTGGCATCTTCACCTCCGCGGCGGGTGCGACGATTGCCGGGTGGATCGACCCTGCGGGTGCGCTCATCATCTCGGTGGCCATCATTGTCTCCTGGACGCGCACCGCGTTTGGCGAGTTCAAGACGCTGGCGGGTGGTGCTGCGCCGACCGACTTTTTGCAGCTGGTCACGTACAATGCGGCGCTGTTCAGCGACGAGATCCAGGCGATCGAGAGTGTGCGTGCCTACAGCTCCGGACCGCGCTACATTGTGGAGATCGACATTGTCATGCATCCCGAGACGCCGCTGTGGAAGAGCCACGATCTGAGTCAGGCCCTCCAGGACCAGCTCGAGTCGCTCCCCATGGTCGAACGCGCCTTTATCCACGTCGACCACGAAGTCGAACACGCCTTTGAACACCGTAAGAACATCTAGACCAATCGCACTTCCAAAACAGGCTTCGGCGCACAATGCTTGTCATCAGTGTATATTTAGGCATGCGACGAATCGAGTTGACAAAAGATTCGGCGCAGTTCGGTGATGGGGATCTGTGCATTGTTCGCAATCGCACCAGCAGCTGCGGTGGTGGACGCGGTGAGGTTTTTGGGTGCGTTCGAGTCGTCCCTCTTGCGCACGGTGACTGACTGCGTCTGCATCTCTCGCTCGCCCACGACGAGGATGTAATTGTACCTTGCCAGCTGTGCCTTTCTCACGAGCTTGGCCAGCTTTTCGCCCTGCGGATTTGCTTCCACATCCACATAGAACCGCTGCAGATGTCGTTCGGACGACTGCGACGCTTCCGCATCAGGATGGATGCCCAGCGAGAGGTACTTGGCGATCCTGGCCGCATACGCGTCGAGTTCAGCCGAGCCTGTTTTGGCCGGCAGCACAATCGCCTGCCTGGGAGACAGCCAGAACGGCCACCAACCCGCCGTCTGCTCGATGAGAATCGCCATGAAACGCTCCACGCTGCCAAGGATGGCACGGTGGATCATGACGGGCGTGCTTCGCTCCCCCGTTTGCGTGGCACTGGGATCCGCATACGACAGTTCAAACCGTCGGGGCAGCTGGAAATCCAACTGAATCGTTGCCGTCTGGTGCCTGCGTCCCTGCCCGTCCACCAGACGGATATCGATCTTGGGGCCGTAGAACGCTCCGTCGCCCTCGTTGAGCTCCCACTTGCGGCCGCTCTTGTCGAGCGCCTCGCGCAGTCCCGCCTCGGCACGATCCCACTCCTGCACGCTCCCGATGAATGCATCGTCCGGTCGCGTAGACAGCACGAGCTCGAACGCTGCGAATCCAAACGTATCGTATGCCGAGGTGAGCATCTGCAGCATTGCGTCGATCTCTGCCTCGACCTGGTCGGGGGTGCAAAAGACGTGCGCATCGTCTTGGTGGAATCGGCGCACGCGCGTCAAGCCCGTCAATGCCCCGGACGCCTCGTTGCGATGCAGCGGCGAGAACTCGGCGTATCGAATGGGGAGATCGCGATACGACCTCTCCTGCGACGCAAAGATCACACAGTGCCCCGGACAGTTCATCGGCTTGAGTCCAAACGTCTCGTCCTCCACCTCCCGCTCCTCGGCATGGATCGAGCAGCAGGCAGTGCGATCGTCCACGCTAGTCGAAGCCGACGTGCGCGCAAGACGCTCCTTGTAGCCTTCGGCCGCAAACATGTCGTCGCGATAGTTGTCCCAGTGTCCACTGCGCTTCCACAGCGAGGTCTTGTACAGCTGCGGCGACTGCACCTCGTCGTAGCCGTACACGTCGTACAGATCGCGCACCACGCGCTCTACCTTGCGTGCCAGCCGCATGCCGTGCGGAAGGATGAACGGCGTCCCCGGCGAAGAGTCGTGCGTGAGGAAGAGCGACTGCGCCTTGCCGATCGCCCGGTGGTCCGTCGTACTGCTCCCCGAAGCATCCTGACTCGCGCCCTGCGCGGCGGGTTTGGAAGACGAATGCCTCGCCTGCAGAAAGTGCTTGAGAAGCGATCCAGTCACGGTGGCGCTTCGCGAGCTAGAAGCGCTCCGAAGCGCTCGACGGACCAGCACCTGCATGCCGTGTCGAGACATGCTCAGCTCTCTGCGAGGTCGAGGGGATGATGGAGGCCGGCGCGCAGAAGCCAGTTCTTCCAACCGCGGCCAAAATTGGCGAAAAAGCTATAAAAAATGGGCCTCCAAAAGGCGACGATTTATTTAAGGGTCTTTACCGTTCGGAAGTCGGGCACCAAAATAAAGATGTTAGACTGACGATTGCGGCGTGGCTCGTGCGAATCGCGCCGATGGCCACGAGACGCCGAGTGACGTTGTCGGCGCAGCTTCAGAGCGCAGTCCGACAAGCTCAAGCTTTGACAGGACCCTGACTTGTCTCGGTCTTGACCTCGCTCCACCATCTTGCTCGCTGCAATCCAGTCTCGCAGCCAACGCCAACGACAAGCGCTCCTGCTGTCGTTCCGGGTAAGCTGACGCGACGCGACACCGCCCGGAGCGCATGGCTCACTTGAACGGGTTCGCAGCCATGTACGCCTCACGTGCACTGGCCGCCCGAGGCCCCATCGCTTGCTCACTCCGCAGTCGATGCCATGCCACTGCTTTACCGGCAGCCGCCAGCAGAGCGTATTCGCAGCTTACCGCTTCGTTTGCACGGCCCCACCGCCCTTTCGTCAAAACGACCCAGGCCAGCTTCCAGTCGCTCAGGTGGGGATCTTCGGCCGCCCTCACCTCCACCTCGCCCGAGGCTGCCAAGGTCGCAGAGGATGCCGAGACCGAGACCGAAAACGATCCGTTCCGCAAGATCGGCTATCTGTACTTTGACACCGTCTTCCCCATCCGTCTCGGCTTCTGGGACATCCGCTACATGCTCGCCTCGCTCGAAAAGCGCTCCGTGCTCGACCGCATCAAGGCCAGCTTGCCTCCGGATGAAAGCGTAGGCTACGGCTTCAAAGTCATCGGCGCAGAAGAGCGAATGAAGGACGGCGGCGCCTTCGTCACCTTCTCTTACCGCGAGGACCCCAACGAGAAGAGCGAGGACTCGCTCAACCACATCGAGAAGCGCCTCAAGTCCGGCGTCCGACGCGTCTTTAACCCTCTCCTCTTCTTCATCGGCACGCCGGGTGTCCACGTCGTGCGCGGCTCCCCCTTCCGCGAGGACATGAATATCTTCCCCTCCACCCGCATCTTTGTCAAACTCGACGGCGGCGATGCCAGCGAGGAGCAGCTCTGGCAGGCTCTGCGTCCCTACGGTCGCATCGTATCCATCGTCAAGGAGAAACCGTCCGAGGCGTTCGTCACCTTTTCTCGCATTCGTGGCGCCACCAGCGCACGCAACTGTGCCCACGGCTACGAGCTGCCCAATGGTGCGCGCTTCGTCATCACCTTCCGCAGCAAGCTCCGCAGCAAGCAGGCGTGGGACTGGATCTCGAACCATCCCAGGATCGTCTTCCCGCTCGTCGCCTTCCTCATCGGCGGCATCTCGTACATCGTCTTCGACCCCGTCCGCGAGTTCATGGTGGAGAGCAAGGTGCACAATACCTTCTCGCTCCACGAGTATCGCCTCTACTCGTGGCTCAAGCGCAACACCGTCGGCCTCTTCAAGGACACCGACGGCAACGCCGATGGCCGCGTAGACGACTGGTGGGAGCGCCGCCAGTCGGCAGAGACCATCCAGGAGTGGATTCGAGAGAAGCCTTCGACTTTCGTCACCATCTCGGGCCCGCGCGGTTCGGGCAAGACGGGGCTCGTGAGCAAGGCGATCACGCGCGACGTACAGCACCTCGTCATCGACTGCGACGCCATCGCAAAGACCGCCAAGAACGACTCGCTGCTCATCACCTCGCTCGCCAACGAAACCGGATACTGGCCCGTGTTCAGCTGGCTCAGCAGCATCAACAACATCATCGACCTCGCCGCCGTCGGCCTCATCGGCTCCAAGGCCGGCTTCGCCACTCCCACCGATGCCCAGCTCAAGCAGATCCTCGGCGTCGTCACCAATGCGCTCAACAGCATGAACGAAAAGACGCAGAAGCGCCTCGCCAAGGCAGAAAAAGCTCGCCTCGCTGCCGAGAAGAAGCTCAAGCAGCCCGCGCAGGCTGTACCCACCGATGGCACCGAGTCGCTCGAGGAAAAGGCGTCCGCGTTGGCACACGATACCATCGAGTCCATCCAGCAGCTTGTGTCCCCCTGCGACGACAAGAACGGGAGCAACGACGAAAAGAAAAAGTCGTTCAACTCGCCCGTCGTCGTCATCAACCAGTTCCACCACAAGGGCATCAAGCAGGCCGTCCTGCACCAGGTGCTCGCCGAATGGGCCGCCGAGCTCGTCACCAACGGCATTGCTCACGTCGTCTTTGTCTCGGACAATCCGGTGGGCATGGGCAAGGAGCTCGCCAAGGCGCTGCCCAACGTGCCGTTCCAGGGCATCGCACTCGCCGATGCCGAGGAGGAAAAGGCACGCAGCTACGTGTACAACAAACTCAAGGAGATGGGTCGTCTTCCCGTCATCAATGCGGCGGCGGGCAAGGGCGCCGGAGTCGCACCGCTGCGAGCCACGCCGTTCGGATCTGGATCTGCGGCCGGGCAGCCGGCGGCTGTGGAGGCCGGCGCGCCCGAGTACGCAGCAGCACTGGACGACGAGACAGCGAGCTGGGTGGACAAGCTGGGCGGGCGGCTGACGGATCTGGAGACGCTGGTGCAGAAGGTGTCGCTAGGGCAGACGGTCGAGTCGGCCGTGCACGACATTATCTCGCGCAGCGTGGTGGAGCTGCGCAAGAACGCATTTGGCGACGATGCGAGCGAGGCGACGTCGCTGGCGTGGACGCGCACGCAGGCGTGGACGGTGGTGCAGAAGCTGGCGGCCAAGGGCGAGATCGCCTACTACGGCCTGCTGCACAACGAGTTCAAGGGCAACGAGGCGGCGATCAAGTCGCTCGAGCAGGCCGAGATCATCTCGGTGCGCCACCACGATGGCCGGCCTTCAGCGATTCGAGCTGGGCGTCCTGTGATGCAGGAGGCCATCAAGCGGCTGGTGGCCGACCGGACGTTCAACGATACCCAGACGCTGCTCGCGAATGCGGCGGCGATCGAGTCGGCGGAAAAGAGCCTGCGCACGATCGAGACCGAGATCTCGGACATCTCGCGCATGATCCAGGGCTCGCCGTTCAAGGTGGCTTCGGGCGCAGGCGCCACGGATGGCGCCGTACTGCCGCCACCCGGCGACAAGAAGAAGGACGACGGATGGTCGCTCAAGCTCAGCTGGTTCGGAGACGGCGATGGCGCGCCGAGTATTCGCACCAGCGAGGCGGCCAAGGCAAGGACGGAATTCCTCATGTCCAAGATGGCCGAGCTCCAGACCAAGATCTCCAAGCTGGATGCGCAGAGCACCGCCATCAAGGCCCGGCTCGCCGCGCACACGGATTAGAGAGTTCCAAGGCGCAATCACACCGCTTTTGTTTTAATGGCTTGGGCGAGGTGCGGGTGGCGTGCGATGGGAACAAGATGCACGATGGCAAGATGCGTTGCAGCATCAGTCAGAGTCGCGTGTGGACCCTGTCAAGAAAAATAAAAAGTTTAGGCTGTTTAAGAAGGCGGTGAGGGCTGAGTCATTGCTGAGTGAGTGCTGCGGCAAGGTGGCATGGTGTTGACGTTGCGAGTGTGCAAGTGAGTCAGCGCCACCGAAGTGTGGCGCCGCTGTAGAGGCCCTCGCTGTGGGGGACCTCGCTGTAGAGGCCCTATATAAGCATCTCCAATGTCGGTGGCAAGGTGTGAAATGGTCCACGACGCTATTCTCTGGTTGAAGTAGGATTACCATGACTGCCAACACGAACTCTGTAAGTCGGCATTGCCTGGATGTGCGCCTTCCACCTGGAACGTGGATTGACTGACGTGTGTTGTGGGCGATGTTCAGTTGCCTGCTCCTGGTGGAGCACGAAAGGCTGCTACGCGTGGACCAAACGGTGCATCTGCGCTCGCTTCGGAACTGGGTGCCGCGCGGGATGTCGATCGAGACGTCGCACGCGCTCGATCCGAGGGCGACAAGATGCCCCCCTCGAACGATGCCAGCCGCGTGCTTGAATTCGGTATGCCCAACGGTGCCGAGCAAGGTGTCGAGACACCTGGCCGCGAGAAGCGCACCGAGCTGCAGAACATGCGCAACCAAGAGCTCGGTCGCGACCAGCCGGACCTTGGCAAGATCGCACAGACTTCTGCCGGAACGACGTTCCCCACCACAAACACCGCCAAGTCGACCGCAGCCAACGATCCCGACGCACTGCTCGACACGGTCGCCAGAAGCACCGGCACCGAATCCGGAACTTCATCCGCAAACACCGCAGTCCAAGTCACTCGCGACGCTCCCACCAACGCCTAGCTCCGCCTCTGCCATCTCTAAATCGTTGTGAAATCAATCGAGCTGCATACGCTCTGTCTGCCATTGCTGTATACGCTCTGTGTGTGATCGGGACTGCAATGCCGTCGGATGCTGCGGTGGCTAGCTGCGCGATGAAGATGCCAATGGGGGCGCGAGCCTCGCTGCGCGTTTGCGGCCGGGCGCTGGCGCTCGAGGCGTAGCAGCCGTGGCATTGGGCATGCCCGACGACCGACGCTGGCCCGAGACACGGTAGAGGAGCTGTTGATTCTGGCGCTGGAATAGCACCTTTTGCCGCTGCACAAAAGCCCACACCGACACCACCGCCAGCACCGCCACAACCGCCTATGCACACAGAGAGGCCGAGGATGAGCATGTGCATACAAAGGCTGCCAGGGGTGCGAGCACTTACGATCATTTCAAAGTAGTCTTTGGCTTCTTGCTTGGCCGACTTGCCGCATGCTTCCCAGCCCAGCAGCGCGGCAGCTGTCGAGTCGGTCGCATTGCGTGCTGCATTGGCAGTGTCCATGGCTGTTCGAACGGCCGAGGCGTCCGCGCGGTCCGCCACGGGACTGCACGCCACGCGCCGCCGGTTGTTGTACGGTCGACAAAACGGAAGATGCACCTGTTCCACACCACGTCAGCATCATCTGCCAACGAATCCACACCGGGGGATGTACTTACTACATTGTCAGGACACGGATTGCAGTCGCCCGCGGCGACGCAGACATAGTCGGTCGCATTACCAGCTGCGGCCGCCGGCTGCGATCCCGAAGACGACGCAACGGGCTTGTCGCTTGCCTGGCCATTGCGGAATCCCGACCAGAGCGGCCATTCTCCTTGGTACCCCTTGGCCTTGACGCCCTCGGTCTTGCCGTCGCCCAGCACGAACTTGGCGCCCGGCAGCTCGGTGTCTGGCCGCCACGAGTCTCGACGCGCGAGCGAGCGCGGTGGCGTGGACGAGGTGGTTTCGGTCGCGAGGGCGTTGAGGAAGAAGAGCGACATCATGAGCGCCATGCGCGACGGCCGTGTGCGTGGGTGTGGACGCGGCATTGCGCGTCGGTGTGAGGTGGGCAGAGATGGTGGTGGGAAGGGCACGAGCGAGGTTCGGTTGATGAGGTGTTGGTGTTGGGCGCTGCGTCGAATTCCGAGCTCCGAATGCCGAATTCCGACAGAGGTGGTGGAGGCGGCGCGCAACTCGACGGCAAGAGCTCCGTGCACCCTTCCACCTGTCCACCACGCGATCACCAGCCTAACCCCCCTTCACAAGCCCACTGAGCAACAGGTGTGGGGGCGCTGTACACCGGTCGGCATCAACCAGCCATGTCGGCCGCGTCCGCCGCTGCGCCAGACGCGCTTGTCTCGACCAGCGACCGCACGGCGAGCGGCTCCAAGTCCAAGACGAAGCGGAGAGACTCGCTCAGCAAGTCGGGAAAGAAGCGCGAACCCACTCGACAGGAATCGCTCGGCGGCGCGGTGATTCGATCGCTCTTCGGCACGCTCGCCTTCCTGTTCAAGCGGCCCGTCCGTCTGTTCCGCCCCGTCAAGCTGTCGTCATGGACGATCCTCGAGGCCATGGCGAATCGCGAGGGCCGCAAACTCAGCCTCCGATACCTGCGCACGCTGCTGCGCCGCGAGAACTCCAACTTTCTGCCACACCTTCTTCTGCCTCCGCTCCTCTTCAATACCGCCATCGGCTTCACCCTCTTCGAGGCATACAGCATCACCGAAAGCCGGCTTCTGGCGCGGTCGAAACGGCAAGCCAGCAGCTCTGGCACCGATGCGGAAGATGCAGAAGATGAGCAAGAAGCGAGCGCTCCGACGCCCAAGTGGACGCCGCTCTGGATCGTCACAGCTTCGGGCGCTGTAGCCGGCGCCGCACAGTGCTTCCTCTCGGCACCGCTGGACAATGTGCGCTACATCATGCAGCGCAACGTCAGTGCGTCGGACTCGCGTGCACGCGGCGGCGCCAAAGCGGTGACCCTCATATCGTGGCGTGCTATCCTGCGTGCGGCCATCTTGCCGTTCGCGCCGGCGGTCGCACGCGACAAGCTCGTGCAGGACGTGCAGAAGGAGGCGATCGAGCACTCGAAGCGCGCACCCAAGCCCACGCTGCGCGCGCGCATCCTGGCGCTGCTCGAGCCAGCGACGGCGAGCCGAGATGCGGCGGAAAGCGTGAGTCAGCGCTTCAGCATGTCGCCCGAGAAGCGGCACGAGTGGGAGAAGCGCCTCAAGCGCTGGCGCGGCGGCGTGCACGGCTCGGGCCTTGCGCTCTCGCTCATCCGAGACAGCGTGGGATTCGGCAGCTTCTTCTTCATCTTTGAGGTGTCGAGGCGGTGTGCCTTCTTCGCCTCTACCTCCGTCGACCGCATGAGTGCGTGGTTCAATGCGCGCGGACTCGGCGTTGTGAGACCAGGCGGAGAGACGACGCAGCAGGACAACTCCAACGTCGTCGGAAGACGCAAGAGCGATGATGGGATGGGCCGGGGCGATGTACACATCGAAGACGCGGGTCGAGTGTCACACTGGATCCGCGAGGGCCAGAGGAACGTCACGGATGCCGACGTGAGCTACAACCAGTCGCGCACGGTGCAGGGCCGGGTGGTGGCGGTGATCATCCTGCTGGTTGGCGGTGCGGTGGGCGCGTTTTCGTACGAGCTTGTCGGACGGCCGTTTGAGCTGATGCGCGTCGTCATCTGGGAGGGACGCAAGCAGTGGGAGCAGGGCAAACGCGAGCCTGGCTTCCGATCATCAGCGAGACGCAGCGCATCGACGGCTTCGGCGGCGCCATCGAGAGCCGACGCGATGGGCGTGACTACGCTGGGCAGGACAAGAGTGCGTGGTGCCAGGGCGGCGGCGCAAGCTCGGGCGGAGGCGTTCGATGGACGGCTGTGCAAGCGGCGAGCCGACTTTGTGGTGCTGCGTGCGCAGAATACGATGGGCACCCAGGTCTCGCGCGTCTGGGAGCGCGCCAAGCTCACGCGCCCCCCACATCCGCTCCGGCTAGGTGGGCGGACCGTGCTGCACCGACCGCAGGTGAACGGTACAGCAGGTCCGAGACTCACCAGTTCTCGCGCTTTGCAGCATCGCAAGACGCTCAAAGCGTCGACTTCTACATTGCCATCGCACACGGTCGAGAGACAAAGGCGCATGCAGCACCGACGAACTCGCCAAGCCTCACCGACGCTGGCGACACGACCTGGCTTTCTGACGCTGCTCATCGAGCATGCGCAGAGCACGGCGCAGCTGGACCGCAAGCACTCGGGCGTCGATCCATCCAAGACGTCCATCCCGCTGCTGCTGCTGCACACGTACTTTATCGCGCCCTTCCTGCCGGAGATCCCCAAGCCCGTGCTGGACAACGAGCTGGTGCGTGCGGCTGCCGGTGTCGACAAACGCCTCCGCCCCTCGTCCGGCGCGCAAACGGGCAAGACGCAGACGGATCTCATGGAAAGGGTAAGCACAGTGGCGCAGCGCACGCTGCTCATGTCGCTCGCATCCAGGCGCAGGTCAGCCGAGTCGCCCGAGGCCAAGCTCAAGAAGAACTGGATCAAGAACAATCCCGTCAACGTCAGCTTCGCCAACGCAAAGGCAGGGGTGGCTGGTGGTGCCAAGAGAGCGGGTGGGTTTGGAGCGAGCGACAGATCGACGCTCCAGAAGGGCACGAGGTATTGGGCGAGCGGCAGAGTGGTCTGGTCGCTCAAGCGGCTCGCCACTCCGTACGGCGTTGCATTTCTCGTATTTGCGTGGCTCGGAGGCGATCTCAATTAAGTATACATCGCACAGTGGACCAGCAGTGACTTGAGCTGCCGATCGAGGGTGATGGGGTCAGCAAGAGATGGTGGGGGTGCGGCTTGGCTCGGAAGTTTTCGCCCCAACATTGAATGTTACGCCGCTTGTTCTGTAGGCCGAAATCGGTCGGCGTCCGACTCCACACGCGAAGCCCTCTGGACTCGTCGAGCACAGATCACCGTCCACTTCCTGAGCACCGCCGCTCTTGCCGACCCACCACCACCCGCTCCGCGCTCCATCGATTCACAGGCTTCCGACCGCCAACTTCTGCAGCGTTTGCAGACCCTTCATCGCTCGCGTCGACCATCATGCCGGCTAAAGCCGGCGCGGCCACGCCCGACCCCGAGATCGGCACAGCAGCGGGCGCCGCCGCGGCTGCAGCGGCCGGTCCAGCCTGGCGCCAGTTCTCGTTCTTCGAGTCGTCTCCAGTTCGCGACGCTGACGACTTTGCAAAGCCGCCAGCAGCCCTGCGCAGCGCCAACGAGGTCGCTGCCATCTGCCAGTGCCAGGTTCGCCCCCCAACGTCGGCCCTCGCTTCCGACGCTGCCGCTGGCTCTGCATCGCCATCCGAGGCACCTGTCTCAGCGGCCGTCCGCTTCGACGAGCCATCCGCCTCCTCGAGCAAGGCGGTCAAGGCGAACAAGGCATCTCGCAAGCAGCCATGCACGCTCGTCGGCACCATACACGGCCGCATCAAGGTGCTCGATCCCGACACGCTCCAGGAGCTCGCGGCATGGGACGCCTTCTCGTCCGGTGCCGTCGCTGGGCGGGTCACCCATCTGTCCTCAGATGCTCGTGGCAGAGTCATCACGCTCGGAGAAGAAGACAGTTCCCGCTTCCCCATCCTCAGGGTGTGGGACATCCGTACAGGCCGCAACGCGTCCCGTCAAGCGGACAGTGCGACGGCAGACGGCGCCAAGGCCACCTGGATGCCACGATTACTCGCCGAAGGCAAGGTGCAGCATGGCAGCCGCCCTCACCCGATCGCAGCGGTCTCGCACACGCCTTCGCTCTCGTACCTCTCGGTCGCCCTGGCGGACGGCACGGTTCTGCTCATCCGTGGGCTCGAATCCGCCCTCATGGCTGCATCGGGCAACGCGGGCATCGCATCGGCGGGCTCATCCGGCCGACCCACGCCAGCCGTCGCGCTGCCAAAGTTCAAAGTCGTCTTTCAACCCACCAGCTCGGACTCGGGCGCGCACGAACCCGTCACCGCGCTCGGCTTCTCGGAGGTCGCGGCGCCCGCTGCTGCCAACGCTTCGGCGCAGGTCAAGACGGCATCCACTGCAACCCAGACACCAGCATACGAGGCCAGAGTCTCGCACGGATCGAAAGGTCGCAAGGCAGCCTTGGCTCGGCAGCGAGATCCGAGGACAGGCTCGGCGAATGCAGCTACTCAGGCCGATGCAGCAACGTCAGCGTCCGCCGTGCACCTCTTCATCGTGACGCTCTCGCGCGTCTTGCGCTACATTGTCGCTGGCAAGGGCGCAGGCGGCAGTCCCGCCGTGCTCGACGATGTCGGAGGCGCTCTCGGCTGCGCTGCCGTCATTCCTCCGCGTGCGGCCATGCCTGCTGCAAGCTCCGGGCCAGCCAACGCGCCGGGCCTGCCTCTGACATCCGCACCGAGCAGTCCAGGCGCCGCGGGCAAGATGGTCATCGCGCGCGACGAGGCGATCTACGTGATCGGGCAAGAGGGCCGAGAAGCGTGCTTCGCCTACGAGGGCCCAAAATCGTCGATTCATCTCTCGGCGTCGCAGGTGATCATCGTGTCGCCGCCGTTTGCGCCCGCGTCGAGCGCCGGTCCGGTGCGCAGCTTCGCCAACGCGCGCGAGTCGCCGCTGTCGACGCCTTCATCCCGTAAAGGATCCATGCTGCCGGCCGAGGTGGCCAAGATCACCATCTTTGACCTGGACAACAAGCTGGTGGCGTTTAGCGGCACGTTCGACTCGGGCATCCGCCAGGTGTGGGTGGGCACCGCGGGCGAGGTGCTGGTGCTGAGCGATCTGGGCGAGCTGACGCGCCTGGACGAGAAGCCGCTGCGCGCCAAGCTCGACGTGCTGTACCGCAAGAGCTTATTCCTGCTCGCCGTGAATCTGGCGCGCTCGCACATGCAGCGTGCGAGCAGTGCGGACGTGCTCGCGCGCACCGAGGCGCTGATGGGCGACATCTACCAGCGCTACGGCGACCATCTGTACAACAAGGCCGACTACGACGGCGCCATGGCGCAGTACGTCAAGACCATCGGCCACACCCAGCCGTCGCTCGTCATTCGCCGCTTCCTCGACGCGCAGCGCATCAAGAACCTCACCACATACTTGCAGGAGCTGCATGCGCAGAATCTGGCGAGCTCCGACCATACCACGCTGCTGCTCAACTGCTACACCAAGCTCAAGGATGTCGCCTCGCTCGATCGCTTCATCAAGCGGCCGCATGCGCGCGCCTCGTCGCGCGCCGATGCGGACGATGCGCCCGACCCGCTGGGTGGCGAAGGCGAAGGCGCCGCCGAGGACCGCGACGAGCTTCCCTTCGATCTCGAAACGGCCATGCGCGTCTGCCGGCAGGCAGGCTACTTTGGCCATGCCGCCTACCTGGCCAAGCGGTACGGCGAGCACCGCGAGTACCTGCGCATCCAGATCGAGGACGTCAAGGACTATGGCGACGCGCTGCTGTACGTGCGCGGTCTGCAGGCCGACGACGCCATCGAGAGCATGGCGCAGTATGCCAAGACGCTGCTCGGCGAGCTGCCGGACGAGACGACCGAGCTTCTGATCGAGCTGTGTTCCGGTGCCTTTCGGCCCGATCCGGAGGCTGCACACAAGGCAATGCGCCTGCAGCAGCGCCAGGCCGAGCAAGACAAGACGAACCGCGGCACTGCACCTAAGAGCGCCGCCGCAGCGTACCTGAGCTACCTCCAGGTGGGCGGGTTTGGCAAGCAGGCGCACTCGACCGACGGCGGCTCGCGCACGGGCACGGGCACCCACACGCCCGCCCAGCGCAACTCGGCAGCGCTCGCAGCGCCGTACACGATCGGCGACGGCTCGAGCGCGGCCACGAGGCCGTCGAGCACGGCAAGGCCCGCCGACGGCGATGTGTCCCTGGACGACGCAGACGCGAGTCGCGCCGAGGCGGGAGCGGACGCTGCCGAGGGCGACGACAAGATGCAGGCGTACGCGGTGCCGTCGCCACGCATCTTCTTTGCGCACTTTATCCAACATCCGAGCCAGTTTGTGCGCTTCCTCGAGACGGTGGTGCTGGCGCGCTGGGGCCAGTATGTCGACATGGACGCCGCGGACCGTTCTCAAGGCGAGCCTCTCGACGACGATGCGCCGGCGTACGAACTGCCTTCGAGCCCGGGCGGGGGGGAGGTGGACGAGGTGGAGCAGGCGTTGCGGGAGCTTGGCTTGGACGGCCGCGCCGACGACTACGAAGATGCCGAGGTGGCCGACCAAAAGTCGATCTGGAACACGCTGCTTGAGTTGTACCTTACTGCGGGCGAGGCGGGCGGTGGTGGGAGGGAGCGCGCGCTGCGGCTGCTGCAGCAGCACGCGAGGCTGCCGTACGACGTGTCGCACGCGCTCATGCTGTGTGCGGTGGAGCAGTTCGATGCGGGCCTCATCCTGCTGTACGAGCGCATGGGCATGTACGAGGACATTGTGCGGCTGCACATGGCCTCGTCGAGCGCCACCAGCAGCGCACAGGTGGTGTCTGCACTCGCGCGGTACGGTGGATCGCAACCGGAGCTGTACGGTCTGGTGTTGCGCTACCTCGTGTCGTCGCCGGAGCTGCTGGAGCGGCACACGCCGGAGCTGCTGGGCGTGCTGCGGGTGGTGCGCGAGCGCGCGCTCATGTCGACGCTCGAGATCGTCCAGCTTCTCTCGTCGAGCGCGCACACGCAGGTTGGCGTCGTACGCGCTTTCATTGCCGAGTCGATATCGGCGACGATTGCAGCGACCGAGGCCGACACTCGGGCGATCGACGACTACAAGGCGAGCATCGAGGAGACTCTGGCCGAGATTGGCGAGTTGACCGACAGTGGCGGCGCGCGCGTGTTCCAGATGACGCGCTGCACGGCGTGTGCGGGGCAGCTCGATCTGCCGGCGGTGCACTTTATGTGCAAGCACAGCTACCACCAGCGATGTCTGGGCGAGGAGGAGGCCGAATGCCCTACATGTGCGTCGCACCAGACGCGCCTGCGAGACGCCCGTCGCCGCCAAGCCGATGCTGCAGTCGAAGTGATTGCTACCGCCAATGCAGGCGACCAACATGTACTGCACCGAGCAGCAGATGTGCACGAGGGCGCGGGGTTCGACAAGTTGGCCGCGCTGTTTGCTCAGCCCATCATGGGCAATGCGCTCGCGGCACAGCAGTTGTAATGCCAGTGGTGCCGCAAGAGATGGTGTGTGTGCAGAGTTGGCCCGCGGCGCATGGGCACGCGCGGTGCGGGATATGCAGGGTCTTAAGGATTGCGTCCCCGGGCCCGCGCGTCGTGCACTCTTTCGCTCCCCACCCTAACGCTGCGTGCTGGGTAGCGTGACGTTTGGCACCGCTCCGCATACAGCGAGGAGGGCCGAGACGCAGAGTGACGAGGAGATGTTTGAGTTGAGCGGGTTGCAGCGCTGGTCGAGCGTTGACGGCCCGCAAGAGTTTTTTCTACACGCCCGCCCAAGGGGCTTATCTTATCTCTTCCCCCTCCTCGCTGCCCCTTCCCCTTTGCCTCCTCTCTTTGTGAAATGACCATCATCCTGTCGCACATCCGGGGGCTTGTACACACGATGAAACCCTCACTCAGCACACACACGACCATGTCGCCCACACGCGCGCGCATGGCGGACGCCGCCTGGCTCACGGCTATCAACATGCTGGGCATTGTGCTAACCATGGCCCAACTACCCCTCGTCGCACTCGTCTCGTTCAGTGGTCGTCATCCCTCTCGCCCCAATACACTGCTCAAGCACGCGACGCAGCTCATGTGGGACGCGCACGACTGGCTCGAGCATGCCGAGCTGCACCCGCCCTCCATCTGGCACTGAAGCTGTCGCGCGTTACTGTGGTCGCAAGCCGGCGAGCTCGAGGATGCCGCGACTGGCAGCTTCGTTCCTGCTGAGCTGGTCGCAGAACTCGTTCATCCATTCGGGAGGCTGCCACGAGGGACTCGTCATCAGCGCCCCCAGCGTCGCCAGGTTCGCCGGCAGGTCGACGATCCCGCTCAGGGGAGGTGCGACGTAGTCCGGCTGCGCGAGCGCGTGGTCCGCCATGGCTTTGATCAGCTCTGCGACGTTCCGGCTCATCGGGAGCGGCATGCTCGGAGGTGGTTCGGGTCCAAACACCTTCTTTGCCGTCTTGCTGCTGTCGCCCTGACCAGGTGCAGGGGCTGCTGCGGCTTTTGGGTTGACATCGCTACGAATGTCGCCCTTGGCGGGAGCGGGGGCCACCGCAGCCTTCGTGTCCGTGGCCTTGCCACTGCCGCCCTTGACTGAAGCGGGCGCTACCGGCGTGGACACTGCCGGCTTGGACACCACCGGCTGCGCCACCCGCGCCTTGGACACCGGCTTCGACATCGGCTCGGGAACCGCCTTGGGCACCGTCTTGAGCCCCGGCTTGGGGTCGCCGCTCGTTCCACCGCCGTTGTTTCCGTACGCCAGCGTATCGAGTAGCGCGGTCTTGATGCTTGCGAAGGCCTCCTTGCTCTCGGCTCCCGCCGCGCTCTTCTTCTTGCGCGTCTTTTTGGGGCTCAGCATGGGGATCCAGTTGGGCTGGGTGCGTTCAAGGCGCCTGAGCTTTGCGGAGAGGATGGCGATATCGTCTAGCATGGCGGCGTCTGGGTGGGTGCAGCCTGCATGGCAGTTGTGCTGGCTCTTGGTGCAGATGGCGCTCTTTGCCTTTGCGAGCGGCGAGTGCTCGCGGGTCTGTTTGGCCAGTGCCCTGCCGAGCGCACACAGCGTGTCGAGCGTGACGTCGATCGCGTACATGCTGTACAGATGCGCCATGGCGGGAGCACGCACGGTATTCTCGACATGCGGTCGTCGCTTGGGCTTGCGTTTGCCCTCCTGCGCAATTCCGCGGTAGAACGACGTATACAGCGGCACTTCGGAGCCACTCAGGTTCTGCAGGACCGAGCTGAGGTTGACCAGATCCCACTGGACCTCAGTCGGGCTTGGGGGCGAGGTGGATTCGACATGTTGCGTGGTGGGGGCAGTGCACAGCAGACGCTGCAACACATAGGCCTGTTTGGCACACCGCATGACTACCGTCTGCAGCAGCGGGATGAGCGAATGCAGCATTGCCGCCATCGCCTCGTCTGCGCTGCGAAAAGAGGTATAGTTGATCCAGACAAATGTATGTAGTACGAGCTGCGCGCCGTCGCGCAGCTCCATCGTGTCGGGGACAAAACTCGTGGCGACTTGCTGGAGCTCTCGCAGTCTGCGTGCGCGGGTGGGCTGCGTGCGCCTATCGCGAGCAGCAGCGTGTTCCTCGGCCTCGATCGAGGTCCATCGCGGTGAGCAGACGGCGAAAAAGTAGTGCTCGACGAGAGATTGGCTGTAGTTGTCCTGCAGATGCTGCTCCACCACGTCGGCCGAGATGTGGTAGAAGGCCGCGGCGTAGTTGAGCAGTGCGACGAGCGCGGCGAGCTCGGTGTAGATCAAGTTGTCGCTGTGACGTGTGCCGAATGCCAGCACTGCGCGGTTGAGTGCACGCAGGACTTGGGCGAGCGGTTGCTTGTTCGACATGTGCGTTCGCTCCGCCGCATCCGCCTCGGCCGTACTAGCAAATCGAGCGCAGTCAGCTAGCAGAGTCTCGGACTGGAGCTGCTCTCGCATCTTGTCTCGACTCCTCGCCGTCTCTGTCTTGCCCGCTGTGCCCTGCTTGTTCTTGGCTGGGGTTGCCATGGCCGCCTGTTTGTCCGCGCACTTGGGTAGCATACCGGGCTGGACCTGACCGAGAGCATCTTCGTCGAACCCGTAGGCGCGCAGCTGGGCGTCGATGGACGAGTTCCAGAGCGAGTCGATGCGCACACACCGGTGCTCGGTATCCCACACGACAAAGTAGCGCATCTGGTGCATGCACGCCTTGAACGACGTCCCGATACAGCGCAGCTCGGCACTCATGCTCGTCAAGATCTCGCCGTGTTCGGCTGCAGGACCGAGGGCACAAACGGGGCCGTGGTGGTGTGGGCGTCCGCTAGAGTGAGCCTGGCGTGAAGGGCAGTCGGACTTGCACGTTGCGCACCACATGAGGTAGGCGAGCGCAAATGGCACTGCCAGCGTATTCTTGTCGCTCGGTGGCAGAAAGCCGATGGGAGGATGGTAGGCTTCATCCTCGCGTCGGCAACGTGGTGGCCGCGGCCGTTGGCGTGACGAACTCGATGGGAAGCACGCCTGCGTTGTCGACGAGCTCATCGTAGCCCTTGCTCATCCAACTGAACGCCCGAGACGGGGGTTGAGGAGCAAGATCAGCGCTGCCGAACCGATCTTGTCGACCGAGTCAGCTGAGATCGACGTCGCAGTGTCAAAGACCTTTGCTGGTCGAGAAGGAAGCGGCGTGTTGGTGTTGAGACCTCTGAGGCGGTCTGAGCGGGGGTGGGGGGCCGAAGCTATTATATGAACCCTTTCGCTATCCGCACCTGCGAGCCGCACGGTGCTTCATCTTGCTCATCACACCCATGAAGCGCGTGCATCGCCTTCATCACGCCCGCACCGGACCCCACTGCGCACCCTCACCGCGCGCGCGCTGCAAGGCCGCCAACAAGCTCAGAGTTGCGCATCCGCCCGCGTCGCCAAATCGACACTTCCCCCCTTGACCACCCTATTCTCCGCATCCACACGGCCCCCCTCTCCCATCTCGCAAAACGCCCATCAAGAGTCCAATCACACACCGCAGTTCGACGGATCTAGAGTGTAGGCATTGCGAACAAAGGGCATCAGTGTGCCATGAAAAGACGAACAAAGGGAGCGATAAGGTTGACTCTCTCACGACTCGAGCCAAAAAGCCGATCAGCTTTGGCAATCGACGCGTGTCGGAGCGGACTCGGACCCAGGAGCGTACGCTTCCAACACCATCAGCTCGAATCTCGCAGGCTTGCGGGCAGGGCGGTCCGCAGACGAGCGGCACGAGCTCCGGAGCGGATCACAGCGTAGGACGGAAAGCGAGGCAGCCGGGGAGCGCTACGGACGAGCGTGGGGGGCGGATTTAGAGGGCAAAGGCGCCGGCGGCAACAACGGCGGCGATGGCGGCACCGTACTTGATGGCGTTCTCGGGCACGTTGCGCGAGGCGGGGGCGAGGTCGGATGCCTGGAGCTTGCCGTCTGCGATGGCGTTGATGGTGGCCGAGATGGCGGAGGCGAACTCCTTCTGCAGGTCGGACTTGGGCGTGGTGAGGGTGGGGTAGTACTGGAGGACGGAGCCAGCCATCTCGTTGGCCACCTCATCGGGCGACTTGCCCTCGGGGCCACGCGTGTATCCGCCGATGAAGTACGAGATGAGCGAGCTGACTGCGGGCGTTGGCAAGAGCCGAACCATGTGGAAGCGGAGGCGAGCGGTATTTTGCAGCGGCGAAAGCGCGCGGTAAGGGCAGGATCGACCAAGAGAGCGAAAGGAGGAGTCAGTCAAACTGGGTGCGACGTGCGTCCGCTCGAGCACGGACTCATGATCGAGGTGCATCACTTACGGTCGTAGGTGGGGGTGGTGGTGGAGCTGTAGGGGCATCCTGCGGGCTGGGCACGCGGGTCACCGCCAAGGACGGTGCAGACGTTGGATCCACCCGAGCCGCCGGATCCGCCGCTGGAGGCAGACATGGAGGTGGGTGCGGCACTGCTAGCGGACGACGACATGGACCCGCTCATGGACGAGGACATGGAGGAGGCCGAGCTCTCCTGGGCGACGGCAGCGCCAGCGGCAAAGGCGAAGAGCGCAACGGGGGCGAGGGAGAACTTCATCTTGGATGGTGAGGGTGATTTGAGGTCGACGAAGGAAGGGAGAGCGCAAAGATGGTGTTGTCGAAGGGGGAGGAGAGGGGGGTTACGGGAAGGCAGACTCCGTTAGAGGGGGAGGAGGCGGCCAGAGGCAGGCTGCTACGAAGCGAGGGCAGCCCGTGCCGATAGCCCGCCAGATGCTGCTGCTATGGCTTCTGCTGTTGGGATGCTGCTGCTGCTGCTGTGTGGGGAGGGCGCGAGGCGGGCATGTTTTGGCCTAGAGATTGTGAGCCGGAAGCAGCAGCGCGGGTCGAGAGCTCAGGCACTGTGACGCTGCATCACATCGCAGCGGCCGATTGCAGCTGCAGGGCACGGACACCCGAGCCGAGAATTTCGCAGAGCCCATCCGCCCCAATCGCGGCAGCACCTGGCGATGCGCGTCGAACCTCTGACTCTGCAGCGCAGCAGTGGCTGCAGCTGGGATGTCAGGAAATCCGAAAAAGAACAAAAACACTCGAAATGTCCCGGGGTCAAGAACGACGTGCCGTCTAGCTGCATGCCGCCCGCACGCACAGTGGATCCCTGCATCCACCCTACGCTTCGCGCACCTTGTTCTTCATCGTAGCCTCATGTGGCAGCGCGTTCGTATGCTCAAGTCAAGTCACGCCGTACACTACCGCTCTTCAGAGGGTCAAAGCAAGAAGGGATTGGGAAGTTGAGCATTTAGGACGTGGCGAGGTGGAGAAAAAGCGCCGTGTCGACTTGGCACCGACTCCGAAAATGCCGATGCGGCGACGATCGAGGGCAAAAAGACACCTTCTTGTGAGCTTGTTGCGAGCCCAAGTCGTTGGCGCCTTGCCTCCGTATCCAAGGGGCCAGTTGCGTGTCAGCATCTGCACGCGGATGCACGGCTTATCCGTCTCGCAACACTCCAACGGCAACTGCAGCCTCGAACCGTTGTAGAAGAGGCCGCGGCGTGTCAGCACGGCTTTGTCTGAGACTGGAAGCGTCGATCCGCGCATGGCTGCTGCCGCTCGCCGGCAGAGCGACAAATCCTCGGCACGTCCGAATTTTTCGCACAGTTCAGCCGTGTTACGCCGCGTTTTACATATTGGATGGAGCGTAAAATCACAATCGGCCGAGTGGGACAACGGCCCGCTTGCGCTTCCACTCCAGGTCCACAGGCGGGAACAATGTACGATATGGATATGCGCAACACTTGCTAGAACTACAAGAAAGACCGTTGAGGGAAGAGAGGGGAGAGACACGAAACAGGAATCGACATCGAATGCCGGTTTAGGGACAGCCTAGTGCGTGATGAACGCCGAGCGACGCACGCATCGCGCCTAGACGGAAAGGGGGAGGGGACAGGCAAGGAGCTAATTTTGGGGGTGGCAATGCAACTACCAGCCGCGCTCGGCGAGACGGCCACCCTTGATGTCCTTGGTGATGTTGAGACCCACCATGGCCTCGCCGAGGTTCTCCGAGACGGCGGCGAGCTTGGCGGGGTCGTTGTAGTGGGTGACGGCGGCGACGATGGCGCGCGCACGCTGCTCGGGGTTGTTGCCCTTGAAGATGCCCGAGCCGACAAAGACACCGTCGCTGCCGAGCTGCATCATGAGCGCAGCGTCGGCGGGCGTCGCAATACCACCCGCGGCAAAGTTGACGACGGGCAGACGCTTGAGACGGGCAGTCTCCTTGAGCAGGTGGAAGGGAGCCTGGATGTCCTTGGCGTAGGCGTAGAGCTCCTCGTCGCTCATGGACGACACGCGCTTGATCTCGCCCTGGATGGTGCGCTGGTGGCGCACCGCCTCGACGACGTTGCCCGTGCCCGCCTCACCCTTGGTGCGGATCATGGCAGCGCCCTCCGAGATGCGACGCAGCGCCTCGCCCAGGTTCTTGGCACCGCACACAAACGGCACCTTGAAGTTGTGCTTGTTGATGTGGTGCTGCTCGTCGGCGGGCGTGAGCACCTCCGACTCGTCAATGTAGTCGACACCGATGGCCTGCAGGATCTGCGCCTCGACAATGTGGCCGATGCGCACCTTGGCCATGCACGGCACCGTGGTAGTCTCCTGGATCTCCTTGATCATGGCCGGGTCCGACATGCGCGCCACACCACCCTCGACGCGGATGTCGGCGGGGATCTTCTCGAGCGCCATCACGGCACACGCACCGGCATCCTCGGCGATACGAGCCTGCTCGGCGTTGACGACGTCCATGATCACACCGCCCTTGAGCATCTGCGCCAGACCGGACTTGACACCGAACGTGCCCAGGTTGGCATCGCTCTTGGGCGCGGAGCCGTTGACGCGCGCGGGTGCGCCGTTGGTCGCGCCGTTGGTGGCGGGCAGAATCGTGGGGTTCTCGGCAGACATTTTCGGATAGGTTGCGAAGATGAAGGATGTCGTTGGAGATGAGGGTGAGGTTGGGGGACTTGCCAAGGTCTTATGGGATCCAACCAGTCGGACCAGTCCAGTGGGGCTGCAGGGACGAGGGCGAGTCAGTGCGAAATGAGCTGAGCCGCAGCTGGGCCGCCTCGTTTGAGTAGCCGGTGAGCAGCGTTGCCGTTGCTGCCTCGCCTAACGCCACACCCACTTGTGCACTTGGAGCGCACGGCCTCTCTCAGCTCGGCTGCTTTTTTTTTCTCTCTCTTCTTCCAGCCTTCTGCTTTCTTCTCAAAAGGTCGGCTCGATTTTGCGGTTTCACGTAATATGCTAGCGAGAGGCTCGAGGAGAGGAACCAGGAAGGGCTGCAGTCTTGTGCCTTCCCCCGCTCGAGCTTCCGCTGGGGTACAGAGTTGCGCCGTGCCACCGAATCAGAACGCAGGGCTGGCCGTCAGCGCTGGCCGTTCCGGCGCCGGCGATGGTGCAAGAGCCACAGAAGCTCATGCATCTCTGCAGCGTTGCAGCTTGGCAGTCAAAGCCAGACAGCGCTCGTCCGCCTTTCGGTGACCCGCCACATCCGCTGCCCGCTCGCCCGTCTGTCTTCCTTAGCCAAGAAAAACTCTCCCTCCCTCTCGCGCCTTGAGAGTGAGTCGGAGCTTTTCCATGCGTCCAAACCCCAGCTCTAAAAAAAATTGGCCAACTCTCTGCCTCGCAGCCGACCTGTCCAATATCGGAGAAGGGAGAAAGCCCCCCACGGATCTCGTAAGTCAGTCTCACCCGCCTCGTTCCGGCTCTCGCTTTGCCACTCTGGCCCAGGCATGAAATGACTCGGAACTAAGCCGCCATCTGACCTGAGATTGCAGCTCATCTCCGTCACGTTCAAGACCCACCGCTGCCAACTTGCCGAGGAAGCTCCGAGCTCGCCCTGCACACCATCTAGGGCCCGTGGCACTCGCTCGGACTACATGGATCCTGCCCACCGGCGGACCCAGTCGTCACTGTCAAGCTCCGTATGTCCGCTGTCCGCTGTATCGCTCATGCAGGTTCAGTCACAAAGCGATTCGCACTCGCCTCGTCCGAAGCATGATGCCAGGATGTGGGCAGGACAGGCTCGACAGGCTACATGAGAGACGGACCGGCTCGGCGTGTGTTTGAGGTCACAAGACCAAAACCTCCCGCCTGTTCGCGGCTATCTGTTCGGAAGAGTTGCGCATGCCCTTGGCCTTGAGCGAGCCCAACCTTGACCGTGACCCTTCGGCTTTGCAATTGGCTCCTGAATGCACCTCCTTCAGCATTGGTTGGACCCAAGGCCACAGTCGGCGATGCCTCTCGAGTCGTGGTCCGAGAACAAAGTGTAACAATCAAGAGAGCTAACATTGACCTAATTGTAAGCCTGACCAAGCAGACCCCATCTTCAAGTCACGTGCCCAGCCATCCGAATTCTTTCCCGGTCGCTGCCGGCTGCTCCTCGGGAGATGGCAGCGCGACTGAAAAAAATCCCGCTCAGAGATTCCACACTGTCTCGTGCGAAAAAATGCGAGAATCCATCTGGGGTTGGGCATTTGTCAGGCTGGCCGCCAGAGGAGGCTGCATTTTGGCTGATCACCCAATCCGCTCGGTTCGAATTGGCGACCGGCTGGAAAGGCGCGAGATTAACTGGGGTGAGAGCCAGGCAGGCGCTTTCCGGCTTGGATTTTGCAGCGCTCCAATTCGACTTCTTCTCAGCGCCGGCCAGCAGGCGTGCAATTTGGCGGCCCAGCAATTCGAGAGAGAGTTGGTCGCCATCGGCTGGCTCAATCCCACCTGGCGCCCAACAGCGACCGACACTTTCTCTTCGTCCTCCACCTCCTCACCACTCGTTTCATCACCGGGATCGTCATCTCCCCTCGCCTTTTCTTCACAATGGCTGCTCCCGTCGCTCGAGGCGCCTTCCGCAAGGCCATCAACCTTCCGTACGTAGCCACGCACACCACCCGTACGCTGCACTCCGACTCGCCGCAGCATTTGCACGCATCGCACGCAGAGCAGGATTCACGACCATCCATCATACTCCGCTCGGCAACCGCTTGCGATCGGTAGCCGCCAGATGGTCACAGCATCCATGGAATGGAGACCACATGTGATCCTGGCTGCAGCAGATGACGTGTAGCCTCAAGGCCCCGTCGCATGCACAGCGTCGTGCTTTCTTTCCGCTGCCCGAGACAGAAGCTGACTTCTTGACTTTTGCATGCCTGCTTCTCCTGCCAAACTTCACCACCCGCCTTCGATCTGCATCGCCACGAACTCGTTGCCTCGTCTATCTCGCACTCTCGGCGCTACCTGCATCCACGACCCTATTCGTTCATCTCATATACCAACGCCGACCCTATCTCGCGCCATCGTCTTTGCTCGACACACCTGCATCCTCTCTTCATCGTACTTGTGCGTACCTATCATCGTGGCCACCTTGCAGCCCTACCGCGGCCACTGCCCACAACGGCACCCCGCTGGCTGCCGGCATCAACTTTGCCGTGCGCGCTCCCGCCGACCCCCACGCTCACGGCCATGGCCCTTCCCTCCGATCTGACCCCACCCAGGTTCCCAAATGGGCCTCCAACCTCCGCAACTCCAACGGCGTCCTCAGCTCCCGATCCGGCGTCAATGGTAAGTCCACAATCTCCCCTTCACCTGCTACAGCATCGTAAAGTCAGGACAACGCCAGCACAGGCAGGCAGAAACGTGGAAGGCGTGCCTGGAATGCACTGGACAAGGATGGTCCCCTCTGCATTGGACATGGCATCAATGGACGAACAGCACGGCCCTCGATCTGCCGACGCCATCCAGACAGAGGTGCGACACTGCTTTCGACTTGGGATACTGACCATACCCTGCTATTCTATGTCGTCTCATCAATAGCTCTCCCCACTGTTGGCCAGCCTCGCTACTTCTCGTCGTCGTCGCGCAGGCTGCAGGCGAGCCAGCCCGACCAGGTGCCCGACTTTTCGGGATACCGTACCAAGAGCGCCGACAGCAACAAGGCCTTCTCGTACTTCATGGTCGGCTCCATGGGTCTGATCGCCGCCTCGGGTGCCAAGGCGACGGTTTCGGACTTCCTTGCCTCGATGGGCGCCTCGTCAGACGTGCTCGCGCTCGCCAAGGTCGAGGTGGACATGAACTCGATCCCCGAGGGCAAGAACGCCATCATCAAGTGGCGTGGCAAGCCGGTCTTTGTGCGCCACCGCACCAAGGACGAGATCGACGAGGCCAACGCCGTGGACATCTCCAAGCTGCGCGACCCCGAAAAGGACTCGGACCGCGCCAAGCGTCCCGAGTGGCTGGTGATGCTGGGTGTGTGCACCCACCTCGGATGTGTGCCCATCGGCGAGGCGGGCGACTTTGGCGGCTGGTACTGCCCCTGCCACGGCTCCCACTACGACATCTCTGGCCGTGCCCGCAAGGGTCCCGCCCCGCTCAACCTCGAGGTGCCCGAGTACGACTTCAACGATGCCGAGAACAAGCTCATCATCGGTTAGAGAGGTGTATTCTGTGAACCCTTTTGCCTCGCGGTGTGCTTCTAGATACGGCCCGCCGCTGGAATCCTGATTGCTTTGACATTGACGAGTCTTGTGTGTTTGAGACGGATGCGAGAGTGTGTGTCGAGATGCAGCGGCTTGAAGACGGAGGGCGAGTGCGACGCGTGTGAGAAGGTGGGCGCCAGAATTTGTGCGGTGCTGCTGCCTCGCTTTTTCGCGGCGTGGGAATGCGTGTCGCTCAGCCCAGACCAACACTTGAAGCTTGCGCTGCGATTCCCGCACAAGCCCACACGCGCCCGTCATCCTTTCACTCCCCTCGCAACGACGGCGACCGCGCTCCACTCTCCCGACACCATCCCTTCGCTCGCTGCGGCAACACCCGCTCGCATCACGTACTCCGCACACCGGCCCAAGCCAGCATGCTCTGTGTCGCGACCTTGCTTTGAGCGTTTCCAACAACCTCGCAGCATTTGATTCAGCACCACCATACATCTCGACCATGGCTGCGCCAAGGACGCCGAGCGCGGCGCCGCCGCCCATCCATCTCCACTCGCGTGTGAAAGTCTCCAATCTTGGCCATGGCGAGGTGCTCTTTGTCGGTCAGACCTCCTTTGCTGCCGGCGTCTGGGTCGGCATCGCGCTCGACCATCCCAACGGCAAGAACAACGGCTCCGTACAGGGCAAGCGCTACTTTGAGTGCGACGACGGCTATGGTGTCTTTGTGCGCTCGAGCCAAGTGCACGTGCTTTCGCCCGAAGAAGAGATGCACAGCGTCGATGACGAGCCAGTAGCAGCCCCCGCTCCTGCTCCGCGCGCAGCACGCCCATCTGCTGCAGCCACACCGTCATCCGCCGCCGCAGCGCGTCTCAGCCCTCGCAAGAATCCAGCCGCCACACCCGCCAGGCCAGCTGCATCGCGTTCGAGCCTAGCACCGGGAGCGACGCCGGCTTCGGCTGTGCGTAGAACTAGCGCCGTCAGCTCAGCAAGCGCGTCTTCGTCTGCGTCGTCATCGAGGCCACCCACCGCAGCTGGCGCTGCAGCTCGCCTTGGCTCCCCCGTCAAGAGCACCACGGGCATGCGCTCGCCAGTCAAATCCGCTGGTATCGACCCTCGATCCGGCCGTTCGTCTGTCTCATCTACTTCCGTACGTTCGACAACCAAGAGCGCGCTCGCAAGTCGCACGGGCTCCCCAAGTACACCAGCCGCCGCCGCTGCACGCACCGTCAGACCCTCCATAGGTGCTTCATCCGCAGCCACACCAGCCGCCAGAACGGCCGCTGGGCTGACACGCACCACAGCAACTGCAAGAACACCGGCAGCATCGACCTCCTCTGCCGCCGCTAAACCGCAGACACCTTCGGCTGCAAGAGCCGGCCTTCGTCCCGTTCCAGCAAGCCGTCCATCGATGCTATCAGCCGGTGCCCGCACCGCGACCTCGAGCCCCAGCGTCACATCGGCTGCTCGAATCGCCGCAGCTCGCTCCGCAACCGCCTCGGCACCCATTTCGCGCACGGCAAGCGCAGCTGGCACGGCTTCGCGCACGGGCAGTGCGCTCGGTCCTTCTCGCCTCGGCCCCAGGAGCTCCGCGGGAAGCGCCGTCAGCTCGGGGCGCACGAGCGCTTCTCAGCGTCTTCTTGACGAAGAGGATGCCGTTCTCTACAACGACGACCTCGAAGACGGCGATGCAAATCTCCTCGTCTCCGATCCTCTCCTCGGCGGCGAGGACATGCATGCCTCGCACGACGATGACATCGGTGCGGACGAGGCCGACCAGACCATCTCAGCTGCCACCGCCCCTGACACAACACTCAAGTCGACAAAGCTGCTCAACAAATCGACGCGCGACTTTATGAGCCTCGTCGAGCCGTCGGCCTCGAGCTCGGCGTTGCGCTCGTCCGCCGAATTTGGCGCGCTGCAAAAGGAGCTCGAGGAATTGCGTGCCAAAGTGCGCGTGCTCGAGAAGAAGCGCGACGACGAGCGCAGCCAGATTGCCGAGCTCGAAAAGACCAGGGAGGAGGCCGAACGGTCGATTGCCGCGGTGCCCAAGCTGACCGCCAAGGTACAGGATCTGCAGGCAGAGCTCAAGGACCAGCGCAAGCTCGAAAAGGACTGGAGCATGCAGAAAGACGACTTTGAACGCCAGCTTGCCCGGCTCAACGACGAGCTCGAGTCGCTCACGCTCGACCGCGAGATGGCGGAAGAAAAGGCCGAGACGGCGGCGCTCGAGGCCCAGGAGCACCTGCTCTCGCTCGAGACCGCCAATGCCAAGATCGCAGCCATGGAGAAGGATCTCAATCCGCACCTGCTCCGGCGCCGCACCGAATCTGATGAGCCGGGAGCCGAGGGCGCCGAGGACGACGCCGAGGAGGAGGCCGAGTACTCGGCGGCGGCCGAGCTTGTTCAGCGCGAGAATGACCAGCTGCGACGCGTGCTGCGCGACCTGCGCGACCGCTCCAACGAGATTGAAGGCGAGCAGCGGCGCAAGATCATCGAGCTCGAGCGCGAGAACGCCGAGCTGATCGAGCTCAACTCGACCAACGACTCGCTGCTGCCCGAGCTCGAGAATGCCGAGTCGATGATCGAGGATCTCAAGCTGCAGCTCGACGATGCGCTGGGCGCGCAGGATCTGGTGGAGCAGCTCACGGAGCGCAACCTGCAGCTGAGCGACGTGGTCAAGAAGCTGCGCGACGAGATCGTCGAGCACGAGACCATCGCCGAGATCAACAACGAGCTCGAGGAGCAGCATACGATCAACGAGAAGGAGCTGCGCGAAGAGGTGGACCTGTGCGAGTCGCGCATCCGCGACCTTGCGGCGCGCAACGAAGCGCTCGAGAACAATGCGGTCGACTACCAGAACACGTTTGGACAGTTCCGCGAGCTGGTGTCGAACCTGCAGGCGGAGCTGGAGGCGGCCAAGGCGGAGCAGGCCGAGTACGGCGGAGCGGAGGGCTCGGGACGCAAGCAGATGGCGGATCAGGCCATGCTCAACCTCAACCTCAAGCTGCAGTCGAGTGCGCTCAAGAGCCAGGCCAAGACGATCGATCTGGAGCTCGGACGGCTGCAGGCGGCGCAGGCCTCGTCGCACCTCGAGATGGTGCGCACCTACCTGCCTGCGGCGTACTTTGAGGCGGACGCCGACGCGGTCAACTGCCTGCTCTTCTTCCGACGCATGGCGGTCAAGAGCGACCTGATCAAGACGATCGTCGAGACGAACCACGACATCCACGAGAGTCTGTCGGGCATTGTGCCCGAGGCGATGGTGGGCGTGTGCCAGATGCGCCATTCGATTGCGCATTTCAGTGCGCTGTCGCAGCAGATTGCTGCGGTGCTGCGGCTTGCGCCGCCCGAGGTGTTTCTGCGCGGCGGACGCATGTACCGCGAAAACATGGCGATCGAGCGCAAGGTGGATGCGTTCATCGGCGCGCTGCGCCGCGAGGAGCTCAAGGAGCACGAGTGCGGGCTCGAGTTCGGCCGCTTCGTCAAGCAGTTTGAGGACTTCACCATGGCGTTGGGCGGCGACGAGAACGACAGCGACCTGGCTGCCAAGGAGGTGGGTTCGGCCAACCTCATCGACCACGATCTGGATACGCTCGTCGCCGCACTGGGGTATGCCAAGCAGCAGCTGGCGCAGCTGTATGCCGACGACGACGACGTCGAGTGGGAGCTGGCAGGCCGAAACATCGAGGACGACCTGTTCGATCCGCTGCAGGAGCTCATCACGCGCATCCGCAACACCAAGGTGCTCACGCGCAAGGTGCTGCGTCGGCTGCTCAGCCTGGCGGACAACGACGAGGCGGTGCGCATGGAGGCCATCATGCATCTGCCGCCGCTCGGCCGCGTCACGTCGCAGCTGGTCACCTTCGCCACGCTGCTGTGCAAGACCGTCGCGGCGTACGTCGGCGAGGTGCGCACGGCCAAGGTCGCGTTTGACATGACGCGCGTACTGGACATGGTGGGAGCGGCCACCGAGGAAGGCCTGGGCAAGCGCGATGTCAATCTGTGGAGTGGCCCGCTCGAGTCGACATCTCAGCTGGCCTCTACGATGCAAACGGTGCTGGGCGCGATCGTGGAGCAGGAGAATGTGATGCGGATCAGCGGTCCAGGGCCGTGGCTATCGCGTGCCGAGGAGATCAAGACGCTGGCGGCGCAGAATCCAGAACTGGAGCGGCAGGTGGGCAAGCTGGGCGAGGATGCGCGCGACTTGCTGCGGCAGGTCAAGGCGCGCGACCAGGCGCTGCAGGAGGGTGCGATCAAGATCGAGCGGCTGCAGAAGCAGCTCGAGCGGGCACGGGCGCAGGTGGACGAGCAGAGCGACGTGCGCACCACGCTCGGCGAGGTGCAGCGCCAGGCATCCGCATACCAGGAAGCCAACGATGCGCTGCAGACCGAGATCGAGGCGCTGCAGAAGGACCACGATGCGCTCAAGCTGCAGGTGGCCACGGCGACCGAGGCTGCGGGGGCGACAGCGGTGGAGGGCGAGCGCGAGCGTGGTGCTGGCGTGCCGGCAAGGGTGGAGGGTGCCGAAGCAGCAGCGTATACGAGCCTCGAGACGTCGTATCTGGTCGGGCAGCTGGAGGCGCTCAAAGGTGCGCTGCGGCACCTGCGGCGCGAAAACGCCGTGCTCAAGGGCCACAATCTGCTGCAACAGATGCATGCACTTGCTCGCCTACCCAAGCCTGTGCCCAAACCCGCTGCAGCCGCGGTGGAAGTCAAGGTGGGCGAGCCGGTGCAGCGTATGCCGCCGCGCACGGTGGCGCCCAAGGCCTCCGCACGGGCCGAGGCAAGCCAGGTGTACTCGAGCGCGCTCAGTGCCTTGGCGCTATCTACGGTCGTTGACCTTACTCCGCTTACGCGCCGGGTCGAGGGCGAGGAGAAGCGCACGCGGGCTTGGGTGCCGCACGACAAGCAGCCACGGGTGCAGCTGGAGCAGCATGCGCTCACGCGCGCGCGCCTGGTCAAACAGCTCGCAGCGGCGTCCCACAGACTCAGCCCACACGCAGTGGCCACCTAGAAATGCAGCGGAATACAATGTTGCCAAACAGGAAAAAAGGAGGATTACTCGGATGCTGGTGCGGAAGCAGTGGGTTGTGTGGGGGCGGTGGTGGGGGAACGTTTTGTGCGCGGGCGCCTCTTCTTGGCTGCTGGCTCGGTGCCTGCATCCGTCGCCGAGGTGGGCTTGGAGGTGGGTGCAGCCTCAGCATCAGCAGCAGTGGAAGTCACGGCGGTGGAGGCGGGTCGGGCAGTGCGCTTACGCTTCCTTCTTGCTGGCGACTTTTCATCGGCGAGCTTTGCCGCTTCGGGGTTCGTCGCCTGCAAGCGCGCACGGGCGGCTGCACGCTGTTTTTGCTTCTTGAGCTCCTGTTCCCTCTGCAGCTTTTGCTCCATTGTGAGCTTTGGGTTCTTGGCCTTTCGCACCGACAGCGGATTAGGTGCCTTCCTCTTCCTCCTCCTTGCACCACCCTCCTTCTCCTCCTTTCCCTCTTCGGTCGCTTCGGCACCGACAATGTCCACATCGACATCGGGCTTGGACTTGAGCAGGCCCGCCTCGCTCGCGGGCAGGTTGAGCTTGTCCTCCTCCTTGTCGTCGATCCTATTGCGCGTGAGCGGCGACATAGGCTCCAGCACGATCACGGCCTGTGTAAAGTGCATCAGCGGCAGTGCTGGCACGTTCAGCCTTAGATCGCGACGCAGCTCTGCCTGTTCCGACGCGACGATGTAGCGATGCTTGTTTTCCGGTCCAATGCATTGCTTAATGCACTCCGTCGGCGCGATGGCTTCACGGTGGTTGCACATACGACGCTCCCACGCCTTGGCCATCTCAACCGTCGGCTGGTGCTCCTTGCCGAGCGCGTAGAGCGCCGCCATGCAGCACTGCGTAATGAGCGGCTTGACTTTTTTCGTCTGGAGCACGTTGCCAAACTGGTTGAGCGGATCGCTGATCTTGTACCGCGCCAGCGCGAGCGCGAATGTGTCGTCGACGAGAAGCTGATATGGCTCGCGGAAGCCGAACTGCAGCGAGTACTGCTGCAGCATCTTGCGGTAGATCTTGGCTCGTCGTTGCCTCATCTTGCCAGTGGACGGTCGCGCGGGATGTAGGGTGAGGGTTGGGAGAAAAGGTGTGGAGTGGCTGAGTGGCATTCAGGGTCTGCTTCCACTTTTTTTTCTTCTTCGAGTTCGTTTCTTCGCGCCGCCCCACGTCGAGCCGCGCTGCAGTGGAGGTGCAACGATTTATTTAGCGCCTTCGAAGATGTAGCTACCAGAGGCATAACATTTTCGTATTTTTGCAAGGCCCCTCTCGATGGCTGTCCAACAGCCCACCTCCGTCATATCGGCGTCGTCTTGAGAAAAGGCATCTCATTGGATCCGCACTTCAGGAGACGAATCTGAGCGATACATCCATCATAGGCTTGAGCCCACTTGATTGTTTGGCCGCGTTGCCATCCTCTTTGTTTGGCGCGTTTTCCCCTTGGTGGGTTTGCCAGGTGCGCGTGGCGACCATCAACCCACGATGCAGACCGAGCAGGCCATCGACGGCTCAACAGGTCGGCACCGATATGTACTGAAAGATCGATTGCTTCCAAGCTTCAGGACAGAGGCCTACCTCTGCCCGTTGCTCTGCGCACCTTCGGGCTGGGCAAACAGAGGCTCGTGCAGAGTTGACGACGTTTGTCGATCCAAAGATGAGACAATCTGATGTTTCAAGTCTCTAGATGAAGCCACCACTACAGCACCTCGGTACCCACCGGGGTGGTGACGGCGGGACCCTGTCCCTTTGCCCCTTTTCTCGCCCTAAGACACCGAAACATCCGACCAGCGAGTGCCACCTACCTTCGTCTTGTACCTCTCTCACCATGTCTACTCTTCCCTGTCCTCCGCACTCCATCGAGCCTTGGTAGCGGATACGGACATGCAGCGCGTTCGGCGTGACGAAATGGGCTCGGACGGGCGCACGCGTGTCGACGACACCGATCCCCGGATCTCGTTTGCACCGAGCAACTCGCCGTTCGTCACCGAAAGTTCGGTGTGGACGATCCCCAAGAGTCCACTCGCCTACAATGGCTCCTTTGTCGCTAGCGACGCTGACGACGCCAAGCTCAGCTTCCCCTTTTCGGGCGACACGCTGCATGTAGGTATGCTGCATACAGCGGCTGGGATCAGTGCACGCCTGACGCTCGAGAACGGCACCTCCCTCCCACTCAGCATAACGCCGCAAGAGGCCGCCGCGAGTCTACCCGGTAACAGCACGACAGCGTTCCAGAGAAAGGTGCTTCGTTTCAGCGATCTTGGCTGCTCGAACCACACGGCCACCATCACGCCGGAACCCAACACGCTCGCACCGATCTACTTTGACTTCTACAGCTACAAGCCTCCTGGTCCCAACGGCTGTTCGCCTCCTGCCCCAACTGCAGGCGGAAGGGGTAGTGTGGATGAGCACACCATGCTGCACGCGGGCATCGGGGCCATGGCTGCGATCACGTGTGTGGCGGTTGGAGTGCTGGTGTACTTTTGGACCAAGCGGAGGAAGAAGCCAAAGGTCGACGAGGTGGATCGAATGTACAAGCCGCGACGGGCACAGACGAGTGTGGAGACGATGGCTATGCCGCTTGCTGGGGCGTACTATGGTAACAAGCTGTCTGTAGAGCATGAAGAGTACCGCCCGCGCGGGCTGCACACGCTGCCCGTCCCGGCAACCGAGTCCGGACGCAGCAGTACGTACACGGAAGAAGAAGCATTCAACATCGGTCAAACGCTCCTCGGCCTCGATCACGAAGCTTCTTCGCATCTCGATTGCAAACCGGGACAGGAGAATGCAACCACCTCGGCGCTGTTATCCTCTCACGCAGATGGAGAGGAGAAGAGTGCGGCGACGGCGCCGCAGTCGGTGCGACGTCCGTGCACGGCATCTGCAGTGGACCGACTGTGCAGCGACGCAAGGGAGTTGGCGGTGACACGAGCGCTGTCACCATTCCAGCGACGCCTTCCGACCGCACCGGCGGTTCCGGTAGCAGGTCGCTTTCGTCGCAACTCTACGGCTTCCGTCGAGACCCATTGGACATCGGCATCTCTCGACGAGTCGCGCCTCGACACCACGGGCATGACGATCGAGCACGAGCGAGGGCGCGTGCTGAGCAACGCTACGCTTCCTCGCAGACCACCAAAGTCACCACACCGCCCTACGACGGGCACCAACCCCCCACCCCCACTCTCCTACCTGCCCTTCACTCTTTGAACACTCCCTTGCGCTCCTTTTGTAGATACCACCACGCTCTTTAAATTCGTTCCTGTTCGCAGTGTGGGCTACTGGGCAAAGTCGCCCCCGAACTCTAGAGCAACGCGGTCATCCAGGTTGACATCCACCACCTTGTCCCATGCAATCCCGTCGTGCAGCGGCTGAAAGGCCGCCAGGGCCTTGACGGCTGCCCATGGTTGTGCTGCACGGAGTGGCAGCTTGAGCACCGAAGCGAGGCTGCGCTCGAACAGCACAATTCGCGCTTGGCAGCGGTACGAGTGGTGACAGTAGGCCGGTTTCCAGCCTCCTCTACACGGTCCTGGGATCTGGGTTGCAAACGTCTCTTCTGCACCGTGCACGCTGATGCTCGCCCACCTCGTCGCATCCCATACGTCGAGCACGAACGTCTTGCGCTTAAAGTTGCGACGCATGGTGAAGCCGATTCCGCGATGCACCTTCTCACCCCCCGGACCGTCAGATGCATGTTGCGGCCCAACTGCGGACGGCGGAGTGAAGTTCCAGTCCACAGCCCTGCCCTGCGTGGGCTTGATGTGAATTCCCACCAGAAACGCCGTGAGACCCATTATCGAGCCTCCGGCGAGCGACAGTCTCACGGCGGGCCCTGCATCGGCGCGCGGCAGCGACAGGTCGGCAAGCGGCGAAGCGCCGTGCACCCACATCCATCCGGACGGAAAGCCATGGCCCCAGTTCTTCTCGACGTGCAGTAACGCGCGTCCGGCCGCCACGGCATCCTCCAACTCCTCACTGCTGTTGCTCGGTGCCGATTGGACGACGTGCTCGAGGGAAAACATGGCAGGGGCGCTCGAGGTGTGGACGTACCAGTGCAGCGGTAACACGGCGCCCAGGTGCTGGATCCACCCCTCGGGACCTTTGCTCCCCATCACCCCGCGCGAGCGCTGCGGATGCCATGGGACGTGCTTTGTCGAGCGCACGCGCGCGCGCGTCGCCACGCGTCTAGTCCCAGAAGACCTCGCTGCATTCGGCAGAGTCACGTCGACCACCACGTTGCCGTTCGCATCCGCCTGCAGGAAGCCGAACGAGTCGCCATCAACCTCACCTGCTGGGGACGGAAGGTCGATACGAAAAGGCTGGACGCTGCTCGCACTTGCACGTGCGCCGAGCTTGAGCTGCCACGCGGGGATGTACCGGATGAGCTCGAACGAGTCGATGCTCTTGCGCTTGCCCTTGTCCGCATTGCGAGGCAGCCGGTCGCTCTGCTGTGTGCGAGAGTGCAGCGATTGGAAGAGCGCGGCTTCTTCGCCGTGCACGATCCAGCGCATGTACAGGCAGATGCGCTGGTCGATGGGTGCCGACTGCAGCTCGCACACCACGAGGATGAAGTCGGCCGGCGAAGGTGCAGGCAGGCCGCGATCATCCGCACCATTCGAAAGGCCGTTGGGCTTCGCGGAGCTTCCGAGTCCGAGTGGATGCGCAAGATACGATTCGGGGCTGTCGAACACCGGGTCGATGTCCGTGAGCATCGGCTGCTGCGTGGGCGAGCTGCGCGTGCCGTCCGGCAGTGAGCCACGCCCAAGCGAGGTTCGGCGTGGCTGTGGAGTGGGCGATGGTGGATCGTCATGAGTTGAAGTGGAATTGTGAGAGTGAGAGGATGAGTCTGACGTTGTCGAAGCTGACCGCGGTCGACGCTGCTTGACCTGCTGTGTCGCCCCGCGGCGTGTAGAAGCTGACTGCGGCGACCTGGCTGACTTGGCGAGACGCGGGATGCGAGATGGCGATGCGCCCGCTGCGGTCGATAGGCTACTCTCTCGCCTGTGCTTGGTTGCTGGTTTGGCTTTCGATGTCTTGTTCGTTGTAGTTGCCCGTAGCTGCGGCGATGCCTGGCCGTGGACGGCGTGCGAGCGGCCCGAGTGCGATTCGAGGCGGAGGAAGAAACCTTCGAACTCGGAGCCTGCCACATGTGTGGGCGGGAACGGATCTGCGGCCAAAGGCAGGATTCTCGAGAGCAGCGACTCCATCTTGACGCTCGTGTAGCTGTGTATGATCGTGGTGGCATGGCGAGGCTGGGTTGCGGAGTTGGCCGCCATGCTAAGCACTGGATGGAAGTCCCGCTTCGGATGTCGGGAATGTGGAGGTGGGTGAGGCGAACCTCGAAAATCGCCGATTGGAACCGAATCGAGCCTTCAACGTCGGCGATGTGTTGAATTGGAAGAAACGCTGCGCTGTTGGCTCGTGCTCAACACCCTTGGACCACCACCACCAACACCACCAACACCACCAACACCACCGACCCACTTCATCTTGCCTTCTCCATCCTTACCCTCACTGCTCGGGCTGTCTCTGATATTGCGAATCACCAACTGCTGCGCCATAGCCGGGACCAGCGCAGCTCGAGCATGTCTAGTCGATATGCCGCCCACGATCTCTCGGACGCTGCGATAGGCGACTCGCGCCTGCGCATCCAGAATGGCCAATTCATCGACTCGAGCGGCCGCACGGTGACACTCCATGGCGTCAACGTTGCTGGATCCAGCAAGCTTCCCACAACGTCAAACGGACTCTCGCATCTGCACGAGGGCTTCTACGAGTCGCATCGCACAGTCTCTTTCGTCGGCCGGCCCTTTCCTCTGTCCGAAGCACCGCTGCACTTTGCTCGTCTTCGCGCGTGGGGACTGCCTCTCATCCGACTGCTTGTCACATGGGAATCAATTGCGCATGCAGGACCACGCAAAGAGGACATCGACGTCGAGTATATCGACTACCTCGAACAGCTGCTCAAGCTCATGGCCGATTTCGGACTCAAGTGCTTCATCTGTGCGCACCAGGATGTGTGGTCCAGGTTCAGCGGCGGCTCGGGTGCGCCTGGCTGGACGTTCCAGGCCGCCGGTCTCGACATCGAGACATTCTCGCAGACCGGTGCTGCCTACATCCACTGTCAGGATGAAAAGCACAAGCAGCAGAACGGCACTAGCAAAAAGGAAGCCACCGGCGCATTCTTGTGGCCATCCGGGTACCAGAAGCTTGCCGCCAGCACCATGGCTACGCTCTTCTGGGCGGGTGATGCACTGGCCCCCAAGCTGGTGCTCGATAGCCTGGACGACCAGAAGGACGGCCAGAAGGTGGGCGTTCAGACGTTTCTGCAGGCGGCCTATATCGAGGCATTTGGTGCGCTTGCAGACAGGCTCCTGCCGCTCGAGGCGTGCATCGGATTCGAGCCCATGAACGAGCCGCATCGCGGCCTTATCAATCTGCACGACTTTCACTCGTGGAACTACGACACGGATCTGCACATCGGTCACTACCCCTCGCTCATCCAGGCTCTTGCGCTCGGCAGCGGCTACAAGCAGGACGTCAAGTTTTACGTCAAGTCCTGGCCGTTTCCCACGCGCGTTTCGCACACCTCGACCATCGATCCCAAGGGCCGATCCTGCTGGCTCTCTCCAACGACTGGCAGCGATTCGACAGCAGAGCAAGGCGCGGTGGACTCGTTGGCGGCGCTGGGCCACGGGCTGGGTGCGTGTCTGTGGAGGCAGCACGGCGTGTGGGAGTGGGACGAGTCCAAGCAGGTGCCGGTGGTGCTGCAGTACGACTACTTTGAGAAGGACCATCGGCAGGGGCGGCAGGGCGAGCGCATCGAGTGGTACCGCGACTGTTTTGGACCGTTCCTCAAACGCTTCTCGGAGCGCATCAACCGCTCGCGCCCCGGCGCATTCACATTTGTCGAACCTATCCCCAACGAATTCATCCCCCCTTGGATCCCCGCTCGCGTCATCGAGGATGCTACGCTCGCCGCCGAGTACAAGCAAGCGGCGTACACGCAAAAGTACGCCACGCGCACGCTCATCGATACCCCGCGCCCCGGTGGCGAGACGGGCTTCGTGTACGCGCCGCACTTTTACGACCTCAACGTGCTGTTCGGCAAGATGCATTCGTGGATGAGCGTCAACGTGCAGGGTCTGAGCCGCGGCATGTTCCTGCCCAAAGCGCTCTACTTTGGCGCGCTCGGGCTGAAGAAGAACTACACGGCGCAGATGGGTCGGATCAAGGAGCTGGCGCGCGCGTCGTTGGGCAACGTTCCCATCGTTGTGGGCGAGGTGGGCATCCCGTTTGACATCAACGGCAAGCATGCGTATAAGACGGGCGATTACAGCAAGCAGCACGAGCTCATGGACGCACTCATCGGCGCGATGGAGAAGCTCGCGCTCGGCTTTACGCTGTGGAACTACAACCCGGACAACCGCGTCGAGTACGGCGATGGCTGGAATTTTGAGGATTTCAGCATGACCAACGGCGATCACCAACACGCTGACTCCAGTGCGGGCGGTACGCCGGGGCTGCAGCCCGACTTTCGCAATGCGGCGCACGAACAAGATCCGCTGTATCGAGGCGGCCGTGCGCTCGAGGTCATCATCCGCCCGTACGCCGTCAAGGTCGCAGGCACGCTGGTCGCGACGACCTTCGACGTCGACACGCTCTTCTTCGAGGTGCACTGGAAGAACCCCGCCAAGCCCGCGGAGGCGGAAGGGAGCGACGCAGACGCCAAGAAGAGGAGGACCACCGAGATCTTTGTGCCCGCCTACCACTACCGCCACAAGCGCTTCAGCATCACCACCACCGATGCCGAGACCGTGTTCGACGCCGAGCTCCAGACGCTCTTTGTGACGCACAAGGACACGCGGCCGAACGCTGTGCACAAGCTCAAGATCGAGCTCGAGCATCCCCAGGCGCATCGACTGCACAGGCTGCGCGAGCGGCGTGCGCTTGTTCGGCCGCACGGCGTCATCGACAGGCTCGAGAGACTGTGTCCCGAGAGCATCGTGCTGCGCTGGAACGCCATGAGCTCAGGCCAGATATGGAGCATCGTCCTTGTGCTCATGGCTGTACTTCTCACCGTCTGGACGGTTGACCGACACATGTCGCGCTTTATGACGTCTCGCGCCGCACCACCTGCGGGCAAGCTCGAACTCTAATCGCGCCGCATTCGCCCATTCTCGGCTTCAGACCTCACTCATTGCATCTAGAATACATCCGGTCGCTACCTTGTCTGTCTTCCGTGTGTTTGCTTGTCTGGCAGTGACCTCGAGTGCAGAACGTCGACCAACGTCGAGCAAAGCGCCGATTTTTTTTCGCGTTTGTTCGGTCTGTCGATTCGACAAATCCGCATTCTCGTGCGCCGGCATTCGGATCTCGCTCGGACCCTCTCCTTGCCGCCTGCCGCCTCTGCCTCGGCTGGCTTCGCACCACCATCCTCACCACCTGCACCTACACCTACACAGAGCGGCACAAGCTGGACGACGCTTCAGCACGGCCACACGCAGCTCGACGATGGCTTTACCCGCGCCCGCACCCGCGGAGCTGCCAATGCAGCGCGGCGCGCCACCGCCTGCCACCCACCCTCCACCGGGGCCGAACGCTGCGCCTCCAGCGGGTCCGCACCTGCTGTCGCTCAAGGTGATGCGTGCATCTGCGCCCTCGCTCGCCGTGAGCGAAAAGCCGTACTTCGACGATGCCTCTTCCGCGTCCAGTAGCCTGCTTGCCGCGGTGGGCGAGGGGATTGAGCCACGACCTGCTNCCCTCGCTCGCCGTGAGCGAAAAGCCGTACTTCGACGATGCCTCTTCCGCGTCCAGTAGCCTGCTTGCCGCGGTGGGCGAGGGGATTGACGCTGGGCTGAGCCACGACCTGCTTTCCAACCGGTGGGAGGGCTCGAGCAACACCACCACGGCGGCAGCGTATCGGTCGGCGGCGGAGAACTTCCCGATCAGCAGTGTGCTTGTGCTGCCCAACTCGTTCGGCACGCTGTTCCTCGGCGAGACGTTCCGGACGTACGTGTGCGTGCGCAACGAGAGCGGCGCCGCGGTGCGCGAGCCGAGCCTGCGCGTAGAGATGCAAGTCGGCGCCTCGGACGCCTCACAACCCCACGCCGAGTCGGGGCGATGGCACCAGCTCGCGCACATCATCATGCCATCTCCCTCGCGCTACACCCCGGACCCTGCCGACACAGATAGCCAAGGACGGCCGGTGTGGGAGCTCGCAGCCGGCCAGGCACTCGAGACCTCGCTCGGGTACGATGTCAAGGACCTTGGACCGCATGTGCTCGTTTGCACCGTCGGGTACAAGGCACGCGTGGTGATGCACGATGGACAAGAGGCGTGGATCGAGAGAAGTTTCCGCAAGTTCTTCAAGTTCGCCGTGGAGAGGTCGCCGATCTCGGTGCGCACCAAGGTGCATCAGCCGCGCGAGGCGTGTGCGGTGTACCACCCGGATCCCGCCGTGCGCGAGCGCGTCCACCTCGAGGTGCAGGTGCAGAACGTCGCTTCCAACGGCTCTAGCCTCGTCCTGGACCGGCTTGACCTCAAGACCGCCCCCGGCTGGACGTGGAGTAGCATCGACCGACCCTCGCTGTCTTGCGACGACAAGGACGGGGATATGTGGATGCGCGTGGGGGGCAAGAGCAAGATGCTGCTAGCCGACGGTGATGTGCGCCAGTACCTCTTTGCGCTCGTCCCTTCTGAGGAAGTGGCGTTCTGGGAGGCGCGCGAGAGCGGGATGGACATGGGCAGCACGCAGGAAGGATGGGCGATTCGGGGCGATGCATTGGGGCATCTGGATATCAGCTGGCGCATGAGCCTGGGCGAGCCCGGTCGACTGCAAACCTCGCAGCTCGTCCGTCGCCGGGTGGTCGTTGCGCCCGTCGCACCCCACACGTCCGACGAGACGCTGCCGACTCCGCAGCTGGCGACACAACTTAGACTCACCCCTGCGGCGGTGGAAGCGCTAGCGGCAGTTACGACGGACACGCGTCGGATCGGACTCCAAGTGGCGCTTAGCGTTGCGGATGTATGTGCTGGGCGGTCGTCGGCGGTTGATGATGACGATACGCCGTTATCCGAGATCGCCCCCACGCAGCGACGCGAGTCGGAGGTGGTGACCGTCGAGCGCACGTTTCGGCTTGCATTGCAGCACTGTACCATCGAGCCGGGCGATGAAGCGCCGGCAGGAGAGGATCCGACGCCACGAAAACCGCCGAGTCGCACCTCGACGCCCACAGGCACGGCATCGCCCCTGCTCGCGCTGAACAAGACGCGGCTGCAGACGAACCTGTCGAACCTCGTTCGGGCGGGGTCCTTGTCACTACGCCCGGGGCGGGGGGATGAATCACCTGCCCCCACACCGCATCGACAGGCGAGTCCCGCACCAGCAATTCCTCCTGCTGTGCCGCCCAAGGGGGAGAGTGTACCCGCACCAGTGTTGTCGGCGTCGAGGTTACACGCACTGCACTCACGATGGACGCAACACCATGCCCAAGCCATCTCGCGCCCGCTCGTCGAACACTACACACCCACTCCAAACGCCCATCCCCTAGGCACATCCCTAACCCCCCTCCCCGACATCACACTGTCGTTCCAAGCACGACGAACATCCAGTGGATGGCAACGAATCTCGCAGCTCGAACCACAAACTGTCCGCACAACGCTCGAATACGCCCTGGCTCCTTCCCAAGACACAGTAAGATTGGGGGCAGTAAGGATCCTTCTACTCAGCTTCACCGACACGCAGACGCATACGTGCAATACGGTGTTGGATGAGATTCCTGTGCTTGCAGAATACCTCACCGTCTAGAGCATAAATACATTTGCGCATGTCAGAGCTGGCGACGAGCCTCGTTGACGAGTTGCGAAAATGAGACGATCTGAAGCCAGCCCTGCCCCTCGGCCGTGTGCCCGTCCACCTGCGACCGGAAGCTAGGTTCGTGAGGAGCCAGACACACGACCAGCTGAGAAGACGACCCGCCGCGCGCGGGTAGAAGCACATCTACAAATCCACACCCACCCACCTCGCTTCCATCCACGCGTAGCGAGGCCACGCCTGTCATCGGGAAGCGAAGCTCGATGCGTGCAAAGTCGAACCCGAGCCCGAGACCGAGCTGCTTGGTGTACGCCTCCTTGTACGTCCACAGCGTATACAGCCGAGTGAGCGTCTCCCCCTCCCGCTCCGGCTCCAGCACCCAGCGTGTTTCAGCGCGCGTGAGCGCCATATCCATCGTGTCTACAAATGCGCGCACGTCCGTCTCGTACCGCGGCAAGGCAACCGCCATGACATCCACGCCCACTCGCACCTCCTCGCCCTGCGAGCTGATGTGGAACGCCATTACAACCCAATGCCCATCGTGCGACAGATTGTAGTCCACCCGCACAGGCAGTTGCGGCGCAGAAATGTACGGCCTCCCCTGCGGCGTTGCTCCGAACCGCACTGCCTCCCACGCCACGCCGAACCGTTTGGAGAGCAGCATGCGCGGAAGCAGCCGTGCGACCAACGACCGCACACGGTCGACGTGCCGATGGTACCGCATCACCTTGTCCCGCTCGGCTGCGTTGCATGTCCCGGGAAGCAGCTCGTCTACAACCACCCCGAGCGCACCCTCGTCAAGCCAAGAGACGTCCGAAATGTCAATGGCCCACACCTGCATTTGCGAATCCGCACGCGGCATCAAGACACCACCGACAGAGTTGGCGTCAGCTACACTGGTCTGCACATCGCGAGCCGGCCCTCCTTCCGCTCCCCCCGTGATTGCGCTGGAGGGAGGGATGGAGGCGGAAAGAGTGGACTGACCTGAGCTAGAAGCGTCTGCTGAGCGCGTTGCAGCAGCGACGACGGTGTCCTTGGCCATGATGAGAGCATCGATCGTATTCACACGGCAGTCGCGCAGGAACGAGACGAGGTCGGTACCGCCAGTGCCCTTTGCGCCGCCGCCGTTGTCGTTGGACGCCGTGTCGAGCGCCGCATCCGCCTCGGCCTCGTCACTCTGGGCGCGTGCCTTGGCGAGCTTGCGGTCCACGGCCGGCTCGCCAGTGAAGCCCTTAGGCAGCGGCGCATACGCGGGCGGCGGCGAGCCGCGCGCCTGCGCCACAATGTAGAGATAGGCGATCTTCATGTGCTCGTCGCGCAGCGCCTTGAGCTGGGTGAGCGCATTGTCGTATGCGGCGGGCAGGCCTTCGTCGTGCTCGTCGGTCTGCGCCTTGAGCGCGAGACTGCGGATGGGGTGCGGCCTCTCCCTCGGCTGCTCCTGCTCCGCCTCGCTACCGGCTGCACTGGCATCGTCCTCGGCCACAGCATCCTCGTCGTCGGCATCGTCGGCATCATCGAACGAGATGCTGCGGAGATGCGAGAGGAAGGCGCGGTGGTGGCCAGGCATGTAGAGCGACATCCTCTCCATGAATGTGGCGTCGGCACCGCGCGCGTCGCCGTTGGAGGTGACAGCCGGACGGTTGAGGCGCTCCTTGCGACGCGTGTGATCGACATCGAGGAAGACGTCGACGGCGTGGATCACGGTGCTCTGCCCTGCGGATGGGCCGGAGAAGACGCGCTTGACGCCTTCCGGGTCGACGCCTTCAAAGTGCCAGCCGATCTCCTCGCCCTTATCGACGGTGTCGCTGCCGACGAACCAGGGCCTGATGCCCCAGTAGAAGATCTTTGGATCGCAGCCGTTGCGCACGTCGTGCAGGAGGCGCGTAAGATCCTGGAGGACGAGAGCAAGCTTGTTGAGATTGGCGGCGATGCGGCGGCGAGCGACGCGATCTGCAACGAAGGCCTCGTCGAGACTGACTCGCATGAGTTGGAGCGCCTCCACGCCGCGCGCCTCGATGAGGAGCGAGGTGAAGAAGAAGTGGTGCTCGGAGGGCGTGCCAGTAAAGGTCTCTACGATGCGGAGGTTGTCGGGCTCGAGACCGCGGGTAGGGTCTATGTATTGCCAGTTCCAGAGCACGGTGGTGGCGTAGGTGAGCACGGGGGGCAGGTCGAGCTTCTGGGAGAGCTGAACCCAGGGCACGGCGATGGCGGCGGGCACACGACGGGCGAATTTGGCGGCAAGTTCGTCTGCGAGGTCCTGGTCGTCTTGGAGCTCTTCTGGCGACTTGCGCGAGAAGATGTTGAGCCATGAGCGTGCGGGGGCTGTGTCGACGGTGTGGTCGGCCTTGCGAGGCTGGCTGTGGATGTAAAAGTGGGCGAGGAAGGAGAGGAGGACGTGTCCGCGACGTGCGAAGCGGATGTCGTTGGCGAGCTCGTCGGAGAGGGGCAGGACGGGCATGTCGCGCAAGGAACGACGCCAGCGACGGGCGAGGAGGCGCTGTTGCGGGGTGATGGTGACGCCGCCGCCGCCCTGCATGAGTGGGATGCGCTTGGCTTGGTCGAGTGCGTGCTCCCAGTGGTCGGCGTGCGGGCCGGTGAGGCGGAGCACGGGTGCTTCGGGAGGGAGGAAGCCGGAACGAACGTCGACGTCAAAGTCGGCGGCTGCGAGGGTGGAAGTGTCTGGGATCTGGCCGTCGACGGTGGAGAAGCCAGCCGGACGCGGGACGGCGTCTGCGAGGCGGTCCAGGGGCGGATTGGGGCGAGCGACGGAGGATGGCGCTGCGGGGATGCCTGACTGAACAGCGGAGGCGAGCTCGGCGAGCGGCTGAGATGAGGCTAGCAAGGCGGCGTGTGCTTCTGGTGCTGGCAAGATGGTGGTGGGAGCTGCGTCTATGGACGCAGAGCGAGTGGCTGTGGAGGATGAGGCGGAAAGATGACGGACGAGGGGGTGCTCGGATGGGTTGGAGGGCTGGGCTTTATGGGGACCGCGTTGCTGAGCGAGAAAGTGGTCTGGAGGGACCTCGAAGTACTCTGCCTCATCGTGCGAGTCTGGCCAGGAAGGGTAGAAGGTGGCCCTGGGCGACGAAGAGAGTCGGCTCGGGCCAGCTGCTGAGCTGTTGTCGGTGGAGGCGGGCATGGTTTGTGCGGACGTGTGAGCGATGCGATGCAGAGAGGAGAGGCTTTTGGTGGGGATGGGTGATGCGATCGCAAAGGGAGCTGTTGGATGGTAGCGGGGGGTGAGCAAGAAGGATCGGGCCGAAGGACGCCGGGATGAAAAGGGCGTGGTTGGCGTGCGGGATGTGCTTGGCGACGATGCAACGGAGATGGTGGTGGGAGTGAGGGACGAGAAACGATTGCGAGAGCCGATGGGTGGGGCGGGG